GTATGCAAGGTAAACACCCTACCTGCTGTGCTAACACTCCAGCCCCCATTTTATAACTTTTAAGCTCTGGGGCCTAGAGAAGGAACTTAATATCTGGAGGACCGTTTACTGTCTCCTCAACTCTGAATGCCCTTTGCCAGACTCTTAAGGGCAACTAAGTGTATGTTCAAATTGTGACCCCTGGGCCTATGGTATTTTTTTTTTTTGCCCGACTTTAGTTGCTCATAAAATGGAGCCACTCAACACTTTACAAGGGTTTGGGGGCCATAATTAGTGTGGAAGAAACACTTTGAAATGCTAGGATGAAAGGGCATTTATGATATCATGCTGAAGCCAGTTATTATTCATGGCGATAATATGCTCGTGGAAATGACTTTTAAAGGAACTCCAGCTGCCTGTGTGGTTTGTGGGAATGTTAGTACTTACAAGGTGTGGTTATTTTTTGCCTAACTCATTGACCCCCTTGGAAGGACAGCTCCGAGTTCATGGAGATGGACTGGAAGGGTAACTAACATGTCAGAGACTGGAGGTTAGACTTCTAGCTTTAGACCCTCCAGTCCTCACCTTGGACAAGTCTTAGTATGTTCACCTATAAACTCCTCCCAAATATTATGCTAAAAATAGGACCTGCTTCATAGGATTGTACGTGGTCCAAAGGAGTTGGTGCATAGTACCAGGTCTACTATACACACTTATATAAATGCTCCATAAATATCGTTATTATCATAGACGCTTCTCATGGCATTTTGGATATTTAGGTTGGTTTGTCAGCATAAAGGTAATGAAGCAGCTTGAAGTGTTGTGGGAGCAGAAATCAGAGATCTTTTATCTCCTACCAGCCCAAGGCAGTTCCTGTATAATTGCTGTGAATTAATACCCCCTAGTAATCCCCCCTCCCCCCACTTTTAGCTGCACTGGGGTTTGAGTCCAGAGCTTCATACTTGCAAGGCAGGTGCTCTACTGCTGAGCTAGTTGCCAAGCCCCACTGAACTTCCTTTAACAATGACTCACTAGTATAGATAAACTGAGTTCAGGGAAGGCACCCCTCTGACTGCCAGGTCTTGGCCTCCCTTGAGGTTTAAGTTTTGATTTTTTATCTTAGAAGTCACTTTTCACAAAAGATTTCTTTTGAATTTCCTCATATTTGATGTTCTAAAGGAATACCAGTTTTTTTTCCACACATTGAGTTGACAACTAAAACTTTTCATTACAAGTTTAAGTTTTTCTTAAGTATGTGTTGGGTTTTTGCTGGGTGTGGGAATTGAATTCAGGTAAGTTCCATGTAAGTCGAGCACCTTATCCTCTATAATATTTCCCTGATTCCAGAAGCATATCCTATAGCTATTGAAGTATAACAAGGAAACTGAAAATCTGGGTAACTAGAGACATCAACTATTTCACTGTTCATAGTTCTGTGGGTCAGAAATCTAGGCAGGATCCACAAGAGTTTTAATCAAAGTCACAAAGCAATATAGGCACCCAGTATAAATTTCAGCAGTACTTGCTAGTAGTCAAGATGTGGCAACAACATAAAAGTCCATGAATAGATAACTGGAGGAAGAACTTGGTTTGTGTGGCAGATACGAATTCAATCCCCAGCAATGCATAAGGACCCTGAGCGTAGCAAGGAGCTGATCCCTGAGCACAGAGCAAGAACTCTGTGCATTGTTGGGTATGGCCCAGAAAAAAAAAATGGAAATATGGTGGTTCTGGAGTGGTAGTACAGTGGGTAGGGCACTTGCCTTGCAGCCAACACAGATTTAAGCCCCAGCACCCCATATGGTCCCCTGAGCACTACCAGGAGTAATACCTGAATGCAAGAACCAAGAGTAACCCATGAGCATCTCCGCTGTCACTGTCACTGTCCTCCCGTTGTTCATCGATTTGCTCGAGCGGGCCCAATAACGTCTCCATTGGAAACTTTGTTGTTACTGTGTTTGGCATATCGAATACATCACCGGTAGCTTGCCAGGCTCTGCCATAAGGGTGAGATACTCTCGGTAGCTTGCCGGGCTCTCCGAGAGGGGCGGAGGAATCGAACTCGGGTCGGCCATGTTGGCTGCGTGCAAGGCAAACGCCCTACTGCTGTGCTATCGCTCCAGCATGTAGCCCAAATCTCACCCCCCCCCCCCCGCAAAGGAGAAAAAAAAAGAAAATGTGGTTTATTCATATAATGAAATAGTATCCAGCCTTTAAAAAGGAAACTCCAGAACATATTGCCACATGGATGAGTCTATGCTAAGTAAAATAAGTGCTATGGACTGAATGTGTCCCTCCAGGTTAATACATTGCAGTTTAACCCCCACGCTTATCCCATAAGACATTATTTGGAAGTGAAGCTTTGGGAAGAAATACACAAAGGTGAATCCCTTCATTAATTATAATGCCCTTAAGCTGCGATAAAATATCATCTTTCCATCATGTGAAGGTACAGCAAGAAGGCAGACATCTTAAGTGAGAAAAAAAGATTCTAGAACAAAATTAGCTAGCACCTTAATCTTGGCATTTCCAGTCTTTTTTACTGTGAGAAATAAATACTTGTTTCAGCCATCAAGTCTATGTTATTTATTACAGCACTCCAAAATGACTGAACAATAAGTGCCACAGAAGGACAAATTCCACACGATTCACTTATATGTGGCATCTAAAATAGTCAAACATTGGATCAGAGAGTTATGTGATAGCTGCTAGGGACTGGAGGCAAGGAAGCAACATGGAGTTGCTAATCAAAGGGCATGAAGTCTCCATGCAAGATGAATAAGTTGAAAAGATTTGCTATCCAGCATTGTCCCCATAGTTGCCAACACTGGATTGCACCCTCAACATTAACATGGTAGATCTTATGGTGTTTTTACAGCAACAACAGTTATAATTAGTAGTAATAATTTCAGCAGACTCAGCAGCAGTGACCCGAGTTGCTTCATATTGTGGCATCTGGAATCTTGGCTGGGCTGCAGAATCCAAGATGGCCTTCACTCATGCCTGAAACATAAAGCTGGGCTGGTTAATTAGCTGGCGGCTGGCTGGCCTGTTGCACCTCTCTCTTATTGACGGGGCTCACTCATATATCATTTCAGTCCTCCACATGGACCCTTTGTCCCCTTTCAGATAGATGTGTGTGTGTATGTGTGTGTGTGTGTGTGTGTGTGTGTGTGTGTGTGTGTGTGTGTGCACACCAGAGATTGAAAACAAGGCCTCATACAGGTGAAGAATGTGCTCTCCTGCTGAGCTATATATGTGGTTTAGTTGTTAGGTCCTTTGGTGATAAATAACATATCTGACTTCCAAGCCAAGACTGTGGACTGTCCCAGACTCCAAAGCTGAGCTAGAGCTACAGACTTCAGGAAGCACAGAAACCAGGACGTTTTGTCCAGTCCTTGCCTTCCTGCCTTTGACAAGATTTCACTCGAAGGCCCATCCCTGTCCAGGGAAAGATACAGAACTGAATGACAGCCCCGACAAGACTCTCCTCTGGGAACTGGAGTCCTCCACAGGGCGCTAGTTCCAGAATAAAAAGAAAGGGATTAAAATGTCAAGCAAGTAAAAGTCACAACTGTCCTTATAAATGTCAGTGGATGGATTTTAAGTCAAGAGTTCTAGAATCAAATTTGGGAAACCCAAATTGGACTTGGAGACACAGCCTCAGAGACACGGCTGAGCACTGTGGGCCTCTAAGCAGTAGACTGATATACAGGGTTTCCCAAACTTATTTATCCACATGATGCTTTTGCCTCAGAACCCAATGATACCTTTAGGAACCCATTTACGGAAAATTTAACCTGATTAGTTTCCAGCGACCCTTTTAGCCCTGTAATCCTATAATCTTGCAGAAGATAAGACATAGTTTCTGCTTAATTCTCACTAATCAAGGAGATAAACTATAGACAAGGAGCACTGACTTAGTTCCCTTTGGGCCCTGAGATGCCCCAAATAAACTTTTCCCTAATGAGCTTTTTTTTTTTTTAATGAATTGAAGTCAGTTTTCTATCTAGCTTGATCATTCATTTAGTTTCTATGGGCAGTCTGGCCCTGACCAGAGGCTGGGAGAACAGCAGGGTGAGAAGAATCAATCACTAAGTAAAGGGGCAGTTGGGGAAGGCCCTTCATGGGAAGGGGAGGTTCATATTTGGCTACCAAAGCATTTCTGCTTACTTGGGAAACAGAGGAGTGGGGTTAAACCGAGGCTGAATCAAGTACTTTTTGACCTAGCAGTCTAGGAATATGTATCAAGGGAATAATCTCCATTAATACACAGAAAGTGGGTGTACTAGGTTTTGTGATTTTTTTTTTATAACAGTGCAGGGAATTGAACTTAATGTCTCATGCATGCAAAAGCTACATCTTCAGCCTTCAAAATGGGTATAGGAGGATATTCAATCATAGTATTGTTTTACAAAGAGGAAGCAGTCTACAAACCCAATAATAGAAGCAATGATATGAACTATGGCATGTTCAAATGATGAGCTTTTTACATTTTTCTAACATGATAAATTACAATGTCTGAGAAGGAAAGGTATTCAAATTGCTTAAATAGAATAGAACATAAACCTTATTTTTATAAAATAACATTGCCATGAATAGCTAAATTTATACACAAAAAAATGTTTGCAAGAGCCAAGATAGTTTCAGCAATTATCTCTGGTTATTAGAATTAAAGGTGGCTTTTCTATTTTAGTACTAGTATTCTTGTCATTTGTCTATATTCCACATGGATGGCAATGTAGATTAGACAGAAGAGTAGATTTAGGCCTGATAAGGTCATTGTAGTCAGAGGACAAAGAGTGCAGCTTTCTGGAAAGATCCATTTCAGGGCTGTGTTTTGTAAACCAGCAAGGCAACCAGATTAAGTGCAGATAGTGAAATTCCAACAGAGGGTCTAGGGTGTGGCTCTGCGATGGATATTGTTTTTTCCTGGTTTTGTTTCCAGACCCAACAAATGGTTGGGCTTCAAATCTGTCTTAGAACTAGCTCACATCTTCTCCTGTGAACTTTCCTTACAGGAAAACTTGATTGGCGCCCTCTTGGCAATTTTTGGACACCTTGTGGTCAGCATTGCACTTAACCTCCAGGTAAGTTCCTTCAGCAGACTGGAACAGAGATACAGATAAACCACTGTCTGAGCTGCCACCTCCATGTGGCAGGTGCCTGCTCTATCCCTGGATTGTTACTATACTTGCAGGTTGTTCTAGAATCTCTCCTGATTCTTTGCCTTCACCGACCCCCTCCCCGCCCCACCCCACCTTTTCACTTTGGACTATTATTGCAGCTCCTCCTATACGATTTACCTGATGATATCCTCTCATCCTCTCCCTCCTGCCTTGCTTTAAGGTTGCTCCTTTTTTAAAAAATAAAATCAGCTCTAATGATAGCATTCTCTGGTGCTTAGAAGCCTCTGGGGTGTCGTGGAGCAGCTGCAGCACCCCAAATCCCTGTGACCCACCTAAATTGGCAAACACCTTTCGTTTAGAGCAAGCGGATAGCTTGAGGAGGTATTCCAGAGGAGTTCTATGGGAGCTGGCCCACAGATACAGTCTGTGTGTGTTCAGGGGCATAGGGTTCTTGTCAGTGCCCCTGCAGACAGTCTTCAGTGGATGCAAGTAAGTGGATAATTGCCACAGATCCTCCGGTGGGATGGCTCTCAGGTGAGTTCAGGCTTCCCAGAGGCTCCCGGTGGGACTGAGCAGCAGTTGCCCAGAGGCCTCATCTGCCCATGATGCACTCTACTGGTTCTTCTGCCTTCCTTGTCTCACTTTCTCGTTTCCTTACTTACTTCCTAGAATCACCTTCAAATGACTACCTGCTACCAAATCTCAGGGCCTGCTTCTGGGAACCCCACACTAAGCGCTGACACCCGCAGGCAGACTAAGTTCTGTGATACTCCAGTGAGTCCCTTTCCACCAGTGCTGCCTGGCTCTGGCTTCTTGCCTACCACTCCTTCCTGGGAACAGGCACATTGAACATGCTTGCGAACCTAGTACTTCGGTGTGTGTGGTGGGAGAGGGTTCAGCTCAGCTCCCTCACACACATGTATACAGGTGTTTCTACAGCCTCCTGGGAGTGGGGGACCCACCATATGGTGCTCAGGGCATAATCCTGGCTCTGCAGTCAGGAATCACTCCTGGTGGTGCCTAGGGGACCACATGGGGTGCCAGAGATTGAACCCCCAGGACTTCGTGTGCAAGGGAAACACCCTGCAGGCTGAACTATTGCTCTGTCCCTAGCCCCATGGTCTCTTAAATGCCTGTCTGGGTCATTTCTTTTTCTCTACAGATCACTATCTTTGTATATGCATCTGCTGCCATGCATTCTCCAGCCTGATCCACCCCAAATGGCCACCTTGGCCCACCAAGTCGATACTACACTGCCTCTGTTTATATAGGCCCACCTCACATTTCCTAAATGTGCAGGTCAAGTATATACCCAGAGTCCGCAGGTGCCCACAGACTATCCAGCAGAGCTGCTAGCACTGAAGGGAGTGTAGAGGAACTGGCAGCCTGAATATGGGGACTTGAGGTATTGCAGATAACGATCAAGCTGAGGCCAGGCCAAAGAGGGGATCCATAGACCATGGCTCCCACCCAAGCTCTACATTGCTCATGATTGCATTAGAGATGCCTGTTTCCAGACCATTCCATTGCCTCCCCTCTGAAGACAAGGCCCAGGTTCCTGTGCTTTTTCAAAGCTATCAAGGAGGAGCTGGAGTGATAGTACAATGGGTAGGGCATTTGCCTTGTACGCAGTTTCAATCCCCGGCATCCCATATAGTATCCCCAGCACCATCAGGAGTAATTCCTGAGTGCAGAACCAGGAATAACCCCTGATCATCGCTGGGTGTGACCCAAAAAGCAAAGAAAAAAAGAGCTATCAGGGAATTTTTTTTTAAATGTATTCCCTGCCAGTTTAAACTTCTGTCTCAGACTAGCAATCTAATATTTACATGGCTACTGTTTTCTTTTCTCTGAGTAAGGACTCCAGAAATGCCTACAGATCTCTCCAAACTCATTTTGTTAGTGAGGAGTAGGATATGCAATAGCATTTCCCTCCGAGACATCTGACCCAATTGCATTCCTTCTTGGATGTCTAGAAGTATTGCCACATCCGCCTGGCAGGCTCCAAGGACCATCGGGCCTATTTCAAGACCAAGACATGGTGGATGGGTCTGTTCCTGATGCTGCTGGGGGAGCTTGCTGTGTTTGCCTCTTATGCCTTTGCTCCACTCTCGCTGATCGTCCCTCTCAGCGCTGTCTCAGTGATAGGTAAGACACCCCCACCCCAGATCCTTCCCTTGGACTAACCTGTGTGTGTGAACTCAAGTGTTACTTCCAGAACAAAACAATATTTGCCTTGATTGTAATAAGGCTTTATATACATCAGGACTGGCCAGAAAATCTATAGATGTTCATTCTTTTAAACCACTGGGTGGCTTTTGGGGGGAGAGTTCTTATTATTTCCTTCATTTTATGGATGAAGAAACCAGGACATAGACCAGTGAAGTTACTTCCCTATAAATCATACAGCCAGTTCAGGATGGAAACATCCGAAATATGGTGGTGGGAAAGTATAATGGTGGTGGAATTGGTGTTCAAATATTAAATGTAATCAAATATTGTGAATTACTTTATAAAATAAAACAATTTAAAAAATCATACAGCCAGGATCTAAATGGACTGTCTGGCTCCAGAATCTACTTAAGATTCAGAACAATATTCAAAATTGCTTTTTATTCCTACTCAGAAAATAAACCTTAACTCATCCATGTTATGCTGCCAAGATACTAGGCTTTTACAAATATCATATATCTTACAACTCTTAAGGAATGCACATACAGCCTATTCTGATATTTTTTACATCAATAGATGTCATTTAAAAAAACATTACCTTTGGGACCAGAGAGATAGTACAGCAGGTAAGATGCTTGCTTTGCATATAGCCAAACCAGGTTTGATCCTTGGAGCCACATATGGTTCCCCAAATGTTGCCAAGTGATCCCTGAGCATGGAGTCAAGACTAAGTCCTGCACCCAGCTATGTATGACTCTACCCCCACTGGCCCAATGACAGACAAAATTATATATATATTAGCTTTCTCATTTGGCATTTTTCATAATTTCTATAATCACCGAACTCCTGTTTCAGAAAAATGGATCCAACTAAAAGACAAAGGAGCTTTAATAGCCATGAGGTCACAAATGAAGTAGAATGGGGTGGGGGGAGAAGGGGAGGGAAATCTTATCTTCTTAAATAAAAGATGTTTGGAGATTAGTGAACAATAGCTTTTTGTTCATGGAACTGGGAACAATAAACTTGCTTTGAAATACTTCCTTCCATCTAGCTGGCAAGCCCTAGGCTGCCTAAAAGCTCTTCCCCTCTCTGGAAGGAGAAAGTCATATTTCAGGTCTTATTACTCCTGGAATTAAAAGAGCTTATTACCATCTCACCCAAATGTGAGATGACATTTGGGTTGGCTTCCATGTGACCCTCCTGTATCCAAGGCAGACCCCATAACTCTCCTTCCTACAAAGCTTCGCTGAAACCTCAGAATGCTGAGATCTTCAAGCAGACGTTACCAATTAGCAGGAACTGGCAGACGAGCCATAACTTCACCATTCAATAAATGCCACAGCTCTGGAAGCTAATGGGTAGCGGCAGGCAGTTGAAACGCCACCTGGCTCTCTTACTTTAAAGTAACTGCTTCTATCTTCACCAGACCTTTCCCTGGTTGGTGTACATTTCTTACAAGACTCGAGAGTTCTGTAACAGTTGAGTCTGACAATTTTCCAGTTCACTGGAAGTTGTTATTTTTCTTTCTCAGATCATTTTCTAAATCCCTCTTTTGAGCAGGGTTGGTATACTGGTATCCCACACAATAGTATGAGGATTCAGCTATGCTATTTTTTCCCATGCAGTATTTTTTATGTGTGTGGGGAGGAGGGCGGGGCACATCTGGCAATGCTTAGAGGTTACTCCTGGCTTTTCACTCAGGATTTACTCCTGGCGGTGCTCAGGGGATCATATGGGATGCTGGGGATCGAATCCCGGTCAGCCACATGCAAAGCAAATGCCCTACCTGCTGTACTATCACTCCAGCCCCCTATGCAGTATTTTTAAAACATAATTTAAATGTCTTTAATTGAGACAGGTAGCTTTCCGTGATCTTAACTTTGTCCTAATGTCTTCTCTGACCTACTTTATACATTTATTACTGCTTAGCCCCTATAGGTATTCTCTCTCACTCCCTTTTGCTTCTCTCTCTCTCTCTCTCTCTCTCTCTCTCTCTCTCTCTCTCTCTCTGTGTGTGTGTGTGTGTGTGTGTGTGTGTCTTTGTCACACCTGGCTGTGTCCAGGACTTAACTCCCTTCCTGCTAGTGCTCAGGAAACCATGTGTGGTATCAGGATCAAACCTGGTATTTTCCTTACCTGCTGTACTGTTTCTCTTGCCCCTGTAGATATTTAGATGTGTCCTCTGCCCATTGATGCTATCTATCGCTAATCCTAAAGGGCTCTCATATTTATTCATAATCAGAAAAAATGTGTGACTAAATTCTTTATATATTAACCTTTGAATTTTTAGTTTTGTTTTTGTTTTGGGGGCACACCTGGCAGTGTTCAGGGCCCTAGTATTTGGATTTTAATAATAATCAAGTAGTACTGTAGCACTGTAGCACTGTCCTCCCATTATTCATCGATTTGTTCAAGCGGGCCCAGTAACATCTCCATTGTGAGATTTGTTACTGTGTTTGGCATATCGAATACGTCATGGGTAGCTTGCCAGGCTTTGCCATGCAGGCGAGATACTCTTGGTAGTAGCTTGCTGGGCTCTCCGAAAGGGGCGAAGGAATCAAACCCGGCTCAGCCGGGCCGGCTGCGTGCAAGGCAAACACTACTGCTGTGGGTGTTTGCCTTGCTCGCCGCCGACCTGGTCAACCCGAGTTCTATTCCTCCGCCCCTCTCAGAGAGCCCAGCAAGCTACTGAGAGTATCTCGCCCACACGGCAAGTCTCACAATGTTACTGGGCCCACTCGAGCAATAATCAAGTAATTAAATTATTTAGGGGAAATTTAAAAATTTTTTTATTTTATAAATTATTTCACAATATCTGATTACATTTAATATTCAAACACCAATCTCACCACCATTACACCTTCGCACCACCAAATTCAGGATGTTTCCATCCCAAGCCCCAATCCCTGTCCCAAAACAAATGAAAGAATATATATTTTGTATTATCTGTTATGTAGAACTGCTGAACATGCTTACAAAAAAGTGTTCATATAGAAAGCAGTGTGAAGATTGTTCTATTTTGGAAGGAGCCATTAAGACATTGTATAGGTTAGAGAGAGAGTTAAGTGGAAATCATCTGCCTCACAGGCATCGGGAGTGGTGGGATGGGGGTATATTGGGGTTCTTGGTGGTGGAAAATATGCACTGGTGAAGAGATGGGTGTTTGATCATTGTATGACCAAGACTTAAACCTGAAAGCTTTGTAACTTTTCTCACGGTCATTCAATAAATAAATTAATTTTTAAAAAAGACATTCTATAGGATATCACTAATATATTGTTAAAGTTTGGGTGATGTGATCTTTGTTATATATGTCTGAAAATATGTATATATGCATATTTTTTCCCTCTATGATTTGTTGCCTACTCTCTGAACCCCATCAATTATGGTGTGGTAAGTATGGAAAATGGGTAGGGTAAGATGACTCCCTTTCACTGAGTTGACTTCCATTCTCTTTTCCTTCTGTCTAGCAAGTGCCATCATAGGACTCATATTCGTCAAAGAAAAATGGAAACCTAAAGATTTTCTGAGTAAGTTTACTGATTTGCTCATTTTAGTTGTGTGTGTGTGTTTGTGTGTGTGTTTGTTATAAAACCAGCGTAGCCCAATTTAGAGATTATCACCCTGTGGTTCTATATTCCACCCTCATCAGCTGCCTAAGAGTTGGGTTCTCTCTCTCTCTCTCTCTCTCTCTCGGGTCACACCCAGAACTGCTCAGGGATTACTTCTGGCACTCAGGAATTACTCCTGGCAGTGCTCTGGAGACCATATGGGATGCCAGGGATCAAATCTAGACTGCAGCATACAAGGCAAATACAAGTACCTTCATTATTATTGCTCTGGTTCCAGAACTGGATTTTCATTCATTCCATTTGATCTGCACTTATTGAGCATCTGCACTTGTTGACACTACTTCCACTACCCAGCCGTCGCCACACTCCAGGACGCTTTCCGGACCCATCATAAGACACTAAATACCCATCTTCTGGAATTGTTGTACCATATTTGATAGGGTTCAAATATGGTAACACCTACAAGGGTGATTAGAGGTCACCCCAAAAGCCTCTATCCCTCTCGGAAAGACTGGCAAGCTACCGAGAGTATTCCACCCGTACGGAAGAGCCTGGCAAGCTATCCGCTGTGTATTCGATATGCCAAAACCAGTAACTACAACTGGTCTCATTCACCTGACCCTGAAGGCTTCACCGACATGGCAGCACTGAGAAGGATGAGAAAGGAGAGGCCGACAAAATCTCAAGGCCGACCTAGGCTGCCACAACGAAGGAAGACAAAAATGATCGTCTGTACTTTCAATGCACGTACGCTAGCATCAGATGCATCCATCGAGGACCTGATGGTACAAGCGCGAATGATCAAGTACGACATCATTGGTCTGACCGAGACAAGAAGGCACGAATCTCACCATGCTGTTTTCGACACTGGAGAAGAATTGTTCCTCAGAACATGCGATAAAAGAGGTGTTGGAGGCGTCGGTGTCCTTGTCAACACAAACTTGGCCAAGAGCATTGATTCATTCGAATGCCTAACAACCCGAATCGGACGTTTACATTTGAATAGATGTGGCTCACTGCCTGCAGTTTCTATCTTCGTTGTCTATGCACCAACATCTCATTATGATGAAAGAGAAATCGAGAAGTTCTACATGGAGCTAGAGAAGTTCTATAAAGAAGACCACACCTTCTGCAAGATCATTGTGGGTGATTTTAATGCCAAGATAGGACCTAGAAGATCAGCTGAAGAACTTCACATCGGGACCCATGGCCTAGAATGGAACGAACAGGGTGAGAGACTTTCTGAGCTCGTCATGTCGACCAAGACCATTCATGGTAACTCACAGTTCCAGAAGGCAGAATCTAAACGATGGACATGGGAGTCTCCCAGTGGACGATTCCACAACGAAATAGACCACATCATATTCAATCGACGGTTTTGCCTGACTGATGTCGCTGTTGTCCCAAAATTTCGAACGGGATCGGACCACCGTCTCCTTCGTGCAAAATTCTACTTCACAGAGTGGGGAGAAAGGGCTGCAAAGTTCAAAAAGAGAACTCCCAGAATGACCACCAACTGGGAACTCTTTGGTACTATTGCGGCAACATGGGAAGATGCCATTTTTGACAACATTGACGAGGAATACGATCGACTGGTTCAGCACCTCCATGAATGTGCGAGGAACGCCAAGAGAGAGATAGCCACAAAAAGTCGCCTATCTTCGAAAACTCTTGAGCTAATTCGCCAGCGTGGTTTGGCGCATGCCTCAGGCAACCGCAAGCTAACGTCCGAGCTCGCAAAGCAGTGCAGAGATGCGATCAAGGAAGACCTCAAAGAGAGAAGAGCAGAAGTACTGGTAGATGCGGCAGAAGCCAGGAAAAGTATTCGTAAGGCCCGCCTGTCCTTCGCCAACTATAAGACCAAGATGACTGCCCTCCGACGTCCTGATGAATCCATCACATCCTCCAGAACGGCAATGGAGAAGATTATCCATGACTTCTACTCAAATCTCTTCGATAGCCATGTCCACTTGCCGACATACCAAATTCCACAGGATGGGTATGTCGTTCCCAACGTTCTCCCTTCCGAAATCCGACATGCCATTTTGTCGGTAAAGAAACAAACAGCACCCGGCCCAGACAAGGTCAGACCTGAACACCTGAAGAACCTGCCGTCAGTACTCATCAATACACTGGCTCGGCTCTTCACTCACTACCTGTCTGAATGCAAGGTTCCGTCCCAATGGAAAACCAGCAGGACCGTACTACTGTTCAAGAAGGGAGACATCCATGACATTGGCAACTATCGCCCGATCTGCCTATTGTCTGTCATCTACAAGTTGTTCACTCGAGTCATCCTAAATAGGATTGGCAGAACACTAGATGAAGGACAACCATGCGAGCAAGCAGGGTTCCGCAAAGGATTCAGCACCATCGACCATATCCACACGATAACCAAGCTCATTGAGGTTTCTTGGGAGTTCAAGATGCCGCTCTGTTTAACGTTCGTTGATTTAAAGAAGGCCTTTGATTCTGTTGAGACGGAAGCGGTCATTGAAGCCCTAGCCAATCAGGGCATTCAAGCCCAATACGTCAGGATCCTCCGTGAGCTATATTGCGGATTCACTACCAGGATCTCACCATTCTACAAAGAAGTGATCGTTGATGTCAAGAGAGGGGTGCGGCAGGGTGATACCATTTCACCGAAACTCTTCAGTGCCACCCTCGAGAACATCATGCGACGACTGGAATGGGAAGGAATGGGAGTGAAGATAGATGGTCGGCAACTACACCACCTCCGCTTTGCTGATGACATTGTTTTAATAACACCAAACATCAGCCAAGCGGCACAAATGCTGGCCGACTTTGACCGTGAGTGTGGAAAGGTAGGACTACAGCTGAATCTTACGAAGACAATGTTTATGAGAAACAGCCTTGTTCCTGACGCCCCATTCGCTCTCAATGGAACCACCATCTCCGAATGCAACAGCTATGTGTACCTAGGTCGAGAGGTCAACATGACAAATGACCTGGCACCCGAGCTGCGCAGGAGGAAGAGAGCGGCTTGGAACGCCTTCAAGAACGTCGAAGAAATAGCTAAGAGGACGAAGAACCTCCGGCTCCGGGCACATCTCTTTGATTCCACTGTTCTTCCTGCATTAACATATGCCTCAGAGACCTGGGCCCTATGCAAACAAGATGAGAACGCTATTCAGGTCTCCCAAAGAAGAATAGAAAGAGCTATGCTTGGAATATCACGTTTCACTCAAATGAGAGAACGAATCCGGAGTTCTGACATCCGTCGACGATCAAGGATCAGGGAAGCTGTCTCATTTGCCAAGGTGTCGAAAATCAGATGGGCTGGTCACGTAATGAGATTTAAAGACGACCGTTGGACTAGAGCTGTTACTGATTGGATTCCACGGGATGTCAAGAGACCGCGTGGCCGCCCACCTACCAGATGGTCAGACTTCTTCGTCAAGATCATGAACGATCGGTTTGAGGCCCTTCATGTTCCCGGAGCGAACAGATGCCATTGGGCTACACTAGCACGCGACAGGGACAAATGGAGACGTTACTGGCGCCCGCTCAAGCAAATCGACGACTAACGGGAAGTTAAGTGACTAAGTTTAAGTGACTATTGAGCATCTATTATTGGGATTTGGGAAGGCCCAGTAAAAAGTTCTGCTCTTTCTCTGCATCAAAAATAATGTGAAGGGCTGGAACAATAGAACAGCAATGCAAACAGGTAGGGCATTTGCCTTGCACGAGGTCGACCTGGGTTCAATTCCCAGCATCCCATATGGTCTCCTGAGTATCGCCAGGAGTGATTCCTGAGTGCAAAGCCAGGAGTAACCCCTGAGCATCACTGGCTATGACCTAAAAAAACAAAAAATAAAAGTAATAATAATAAAATAATAATGTGAAATGAATGTGAGAGTCACACTCAGGAAATCAGAATGCATGCTTGATTCCTAATCGAAATTAGATACGAGTCTACAGCTCAGTTATGTTTACAACCAAATGAACTTGATTACACTCTTTCCCAGAAATGCTTTGACTCCCTACTAATCCTTGGGCCAGTCTCCCAAAGAAACATTTGGGTTTACAGAATTGAACTCTTGCCTGAAATTAACACCTCAGTATAATCTGGGGCAGAGAAAAAAAAAGGGAAAAGAGAGCTGGACTGGAAGCCAAACCTGCCCGATTCTGGTGCCACCTTCCTCAGTGTTTAAAATTCTGCTAGATGAGTTCCACTCATTTGAGCAATGTGGAGGGCAAGAGGTAAAATATCAGTCCAATGGTGGTCTCATGGAAACCCGAGAAGTGAGGAGAAAGTGCTACCCCAAAATGCTCCTATGAGTACCAGGGAGTTAGTAGTAAGTATGAAGGCAGCATTTGAGTTCCTGTGGAGATTACAATATAATGCGTGAGTGTGTGTTGCAAGGAGAGTGCATGCAGTAAATAAGTAAACAACAAAATAATAATAATTTTAGATTGTTGTGAGTGCTTCAGAGAATAGAATAATTCTTGGTAAAAAATGAGGAGATACATTTGTGGAATATAAAGTAACAAAATGGGAGACTAACACCCATGAACAGTAGGGATAAGTACCAGGAGGATTACTCCACAGCTTAGAGCCGGCCTCACATGCTGGGGGAAAAGGCAGCTCAGATAGAGAAGGGACCACCAAGTAAAGGGTGCTAGGAGGGCCCTCTCAGGATGGGAGATGTGGACTGAAAGTAGACTATAGACCAAGCATATTATGATGGCTACTTAATACCTCTACTGCAAACCACAATACCCAAAAGAAGAGAGAGAAAAACGGGAATTCCCTGTCAAAGAGGCGGGGTGGGGTGGAAGGGATGTGGGGGGCGGGGAACGGATGCCTGGACCATTGTGGTGGAAAATGGGCACTGGTGGAGGGATGGGTACTCGACCATTGTATGACTGAAATGCAAGCACAAAAGTTTGTAAGTCTGTAACTGTAACCCACAGACATTCACTAATAAAAAAATTTTTACAAAAATAAAAAAAGAATGAGGAGATGGAGAAATTTTATCTAGACTGGTATAATTAGTCTCTCTGAAAAGGTGATTTTAATCCCAGATATAAATGATACTGAGGAGATTGCCATGCCAGGGTCAGTGGACAGAATATAGAGGAAAAAGCAAGTACAAATTCTCTGAGATAAGAATAAACTTGGTGTTCAGTATCTCCAAGGTCAGTATAGATAGTGGTCAATAAGGATGGGAGGACATGAAAGCAAGGAGGCATAAAGAGAGAGGGGGGGTCAGCAACTTACTCTGAGATGTATCAAAATTAAGATGGATAGAATGAACAGGTAAGCTGCATATAATAAAGAAAATATCAGGTATATTTAGAATCTAAGTTGTGGAACTGGCTGCTTCCTGTGTAACTCTTTCAACTGTTGAGTCTGAAAAAGTTTTAAACATATACTGTGGATTCACAGCCAGCTCTATGAAGTGTCAATAATTATAGAATAAGGTCAAGATATGCTCACTTTCGAAGCATTCACTGCATATACTTTTCTGTACATATGTTGTGCTTCATTTAAAATCTTAATGCTAGAGATCAGAGACATAGCTCAGTGGTGAAGCACTTACTTGCCTATGTAAGGTCCTGGGTTCAACAACTGGCACCACAGACAACACCACCCCCTCCCCATACCCCCAAATTAGCTTTATGAAAAAATGCAAGTAGTAACAAGTCATGGTTTGCTGCTGGCCTGGGCCCGCTCTGTCAAGAACCCTATGACAGCCTCTCTTTCTCTCTAGGGCGATACATCACGTGCTTTGTTGGCTGCGGTTTGGCTATCATAGGCACCTACTTGCTGGTGACATTTGCACCCAACAGTCATGAGAAGATGACAGGAGAGAACATCACTAGGCATCTTGTGAGCTGGCCTTTTCTCTTGTATATGGTAAGAAAGCCTCTAGTCCTTCCACCTTGATGGGGCAGGCAGCTGGGGGTTGGCTGGGAGAGAGTTTTGGGTCTTAGAAATCAGAAACCTGGATACCGACCAATAGAGGAATCATGATATATTTTATAAACCTCCAAAACCATGCTTGTCAACAGTACATAGATCATGGGGAAAAGCTTTTTCTCTCCTTTCATCCTGAATAATATCTAAAGCTCATAGACAATATGAAATTATGACTGTTTTCATTTCACCTTTGTCTTTATGTGACATACCAAATTTCTCCAGAGAGCATTTAAAACTTTATGGTAAGTAAAAGGTTATATGTGGGCTGGAGAGATAATACAGCAGGTTGGCACTTGCCCTGCACACAGTTGACCCGGGTTTGATCCCTGGCACCCTATATGGTCCCCTGAGCTTCCCAGGAATGATCCTGAGTACAGAGCCAGAGCCTGAGCACTGCCAGGTGTGGCCCAAAAAAGCAAAAAGCTAAGTTATATCTTCAAACAATTATAGCTTATTGTTTTTTTGCCCAGTATCATATACAGCTAATGGAAGCTGGCAAAAACACAAGAAACACTAGAAACTTGATCTCCTGCTCTACAGCCATCCTGCAGTCACCTGCACCAATTGCATCCCCCCCTTAAGTTAAATAAACTGAGGAGAAAGTCTAAGGCGTTGATAAAGCACTGGTGTCAGCTGGTGTCATTCTGTCCGCATACAGCACCATGCTGAACATTTTGCATGTCACCTCAGACTCTCTCAGCAATCCTGACTGTGGTTTTTTTCCCCCTCCCCATTTTATGGGTGAAACCTGGACTCAGAGAGGTAGCTGTTTGCCCAAGGTCCCATCTGAGTAGAGCTGGACTGGAAGCCAAACCTGCCCGATTCTAGTGCCACCTTCCTGCCCCATGGTGACAAAGATGTTCACTGTTTCCATCCTACTGGGACTGCTCTAGAGGCCTTAGGATGTCCATTACCTTTTTATTTCCTGCTAGATAGACAGTAGATTTCCCCAAGATCAAGGCTGTGTCAGCTCCCTAGCCTCAGGCTTCCCAGAAGGATGGAGGAAGATGTCTGCAGGGCTTCCCTCTTCTGGAAAAGCCTTACTCCAGAACACAGACTCTGCACCTAAGGCATCCTGAGCTCCAATATGTTATATGCTATTAGCTTTGGTAAAGTCAGCTACCAGAAGCTGCACCTCCTCTGAGACCTGGTAGAAGTCAGTGGAACTGGGGCTGGAGAGATAGCACAGCGGGTAGGGCATTTGCCTTGCACGCGGCCAACCCGGGTTCGATTCCCAGCATCCCATATGGTCCCCTGAGCACCGCCTGGAGTTAACTCCTGAGTGCAGAGCCAGGAGTAACCCCTGTGCATCGCTGGGTGTGACCCAAAAAAGCAAAAAAAGAAAAAAGAAGCAGAAGAAGAAGAAGTCAGTGGAACTGGGCTGGTGGTTGGGAGGGACACAGAGTGATCTGGAAAACACACGCCACTGACACATGCTTAAGACTGATGCAGTTTGTCTTTCTTGTGGTCACCATGAAGCAATGCAGCAAACTAGTACAACATGGCCAAATCAAAATCAATAAATAGTGATTGTCTGCTATGTGCCACACCCTGTGGGTATAAAATATTAACAAGACTTGCTTGCAGAATTCAGCAAGAGGCACCAACATCCATTTAGAGGTTTTGTTTTAGAGCACCCAGGGCTCTTCCACATTTATCTGAGCATCATGAAGAATGGCTGAAAAGTTACATGCATGATGGTTGGGAATGTTGACAAATGACTCTTCATCTGCTTGATGAAGTATTCTGGAGCAATTGAAGATAATTATGACAACTTCACAAGCCATGAAGATTGTTTATAGTAACTAAAAATGGCCTGGTACGGAATTATGCATTGATAAGATGACAAGTAGATAAAATAAGTATTCACTAACCAAGACAGGAAGAAACAGGAAAGTGAAAACAGCTGTGTTTTTTCAAATCTCTAATTGTAAGAATTTTTAAATGTTTCTTTTCAATATGCCCACTAACATTTCTATATTAGTTTTTATAATAAATACACTTTAGCAGGAGGTTGGGATATGGAAATAGAGTTAAAGCACTATCAAAATTCTCAATTCTCTGGCTTCATTTAACTGTATGCTGAGGCTGGTTTCACTTCTTAGGAAAATATTGCCAAATTCCTGGCCTACAAAGGAGCAATGCCAAGATATTGATGCAAAGGGGGCGATCTCAAACTCAGATCTCTGTTGTCCAATCATAAGATTCTGTGGATTGGTTGCCAGCTAAATGCTGGACTCTGGGTCTCCTGCCTTCAGGCAGTGAAGCCTAATGGTATAGTGCATGGACCTTGGAGCCAGACTATGAAGGTTCCAGTCCTAGCTCTGTGATTTACTAGCATGAGGTTCTAATGGTACCTATTCCATAGACCTTGTGTACCAATTTGACTACAGAGAAAATGCTTAGAATAGTGCCTGGCATATTTTTGTTGATATTATTTATTACAAATAAGCTATGGGACCAGTGAAATGGTTCAGTAGTTAAGGTGCTTACCTTGTATGTGGCTGTTGCCAGTTCAATTCACAGCACCATGTATGGACTCCCCAAACACTGCCAGGGATCACACTTGAGGACAGCGCCAGGAATACTACAGAGAATGCCCCCGCCCCCCCCCCCCAAGCCTGAAAATCACACAATTTTTTTTTAAAAAAGAGTAAGCTCTGGTTAGTATCCTGGGGAATAAGAATTATTATCCCTATTTCACTTAGGAGAGGGCACTGAGGTTTTAGAAAAGTTCGATAATTAGCCCAAAGTCATACAGATGGTTTAAAAGTAGGTCCAAGTTCACAGGTAAGCCCCTGTGACTTCAAATGTTCTCTTCTTCCTACACTACTCAGTCATACACTAGAGGTTTCCTTAGGGAAAGGAACCTATATGCCACCTTCTTACCCAAAGAGTCTAAGAGTTCTCCTTTGTGAGCAAGTGGTTCCACACTTTAGGGTGAATTAGTGAACTTCCTGAGGTTATCCAGGGCCTAGAGAGATCCCCTCAGTATTCTTCCTTTTCCACAAGCCCCCTATTGGAATTTGGGGAAGTATGTATGAATGTTTCAATTCCCTTTCAACCCCGAGGGTATGTGAGTGATGAGATAAATAACCAGCACAAAACTCATCCCAGCCAGCCGGCTCTCCTGGTCTTGTCTTTCTCTGGGGTTTTCCCACTGACCCCTCTGACTTGTTGCTCTCTGTAGCTCGTGGAGATTGTCCTCTTCTGCTTGCTGTTGTACTTCTACAAGGAGAAGAACGTCAACAATATTGTCGTGATTCTCCTCTTGGTGGCATTACTAGGTAAGTTGGAGGAGGCGGAGAGGATGCAGGGCAGGTGTGTGTCTGGGTGATGGAGTTTTGCCGCCCCCAAGTGGCACTGAGTGATCCCTGTTGGGTAAAGGCATCTTCCAGCTTCCAGGAGGTCCAGCTGAGTTCTTGCTCTAATACAAAGAACTATCCAAAGTACCAGGGATAGTTCTGTAAAATGGCCACAGCGGCGAATAAGATAGGGCAACTCCTGCCTTCAACGTGCCCTCCTCTCAAGGGAGGAAAGAGCAGTGAACAGTAGATACATAGATTGTGTAACTTGGGGAAGTGCCGTCTGCAGTGAGCAAGGCAATGAATTTGGTGGGAGGGCAGCTGTAGTGCTCATCTCACAAAGCCAGAGATGGGGCAGGTGCCAGTAATCAAGGTCTTAAGGTCCATGGAAAACCTGTCTAAAGTTAAAGATCAGAATGGGTTTTGTGCTCTCTCATTCTCCTTTAGAGGGATGGGAGCTGCGGGATGGCACCTTCTCAGACAGAGGCAAGGCTCAAGCCCACATAGAGTTTGCTATAGTAACTAGAGCTATAAGAAATGCCTGTGCTTCCTGGAGGAGGAGGTATGTGAAACTTTATCACTGCCTCGTAATGACTCCGCAGCCATGGTTGGTGACTTGCCCTATTTAAGTTACATTGTCCTCTAACTGGGACATGAGAGGATGAAGGAAAGGGGTACTGAGAGGACCACAAGTGCCCTCTCTCCTGCCCTCCTCCAGCAGTGGGGCCCACACTACACAGGCATGTGCCCCAGAGACCAGGCTTCTGTGTTTCAGTGGTTTTTATTTTTTTTTCATAATTTTATTTATTTTTTTCTTCTCATATGTATTTCTTGAATCACTGTGGGAAAAGTTACTAAGCTTTCAGGTTTAAGTCTCGGTTATACAATGATCAAACACCTTTCCTTTCACCAGTACTCATTTTTAAACACCAAGAACCCCAATATACCCCCCTCCGATTCCTCCCAATTCCTGTGAGGCAGATGATTTCTACTTAACTCTTCTCTACATTGATTACATTCATTATTTCGACAAAAGATGCACCATTATTGTTTAGAATTCCCCCCCCCCACAACAATCAGAATTGCTGAAAAGGCATTGTGAAATACTTTGTTTTTTATAGCTGGTTATGAGAATCATATAATGTCACGCGGCCGCGATTTTGGATTTCTGCAAAGAGCCAGATAATTACGAGATTGGTTTCTGTGCAACTGGCGTTATGGCTGTGCTGGAGAGCCGCTCATGAGGGGCAACTCGTGACCTCAGTAGGGCGTGAAGGACAAGCCGGTACCATCCCCCATCCCATGAGACTGCAGTTGCCCTGTCACCGCCAGCTCATACCTGGCTTTCCAATAAGCTCTGAGCCAGCGGCCACCTTGTTGCCAGGGCGGGGAAAGGTGGAAGGGAGCAACACCCTTTCTCTCCCAGGGAGGCATGGTGCCATAGTTTAACGCATGGTCTATTCACTTTTCTGCCGCAGGCTGCTTGGCTCTGGATTAAGTCCTTTTGCCTCTGGAGCCATAGCTGTGCCGGAGAGCCGCTCGTGGGGGGCAACTCGTGACCTCGGTAGGGCATGAAGGACGAGCTGGTACTGTCCCCCTTCCCATGAGACTGCAGTTGCCCCGTCACCGCCTGCTCATACCTGGCTTTCCTATAAGCTCTGAAGTGGCAGCCACCTTATATGCGGTCCAGTGCATTTCTGCCAAAAACCGCTGAGTTTCAAGATTTGTTTCTGGGTCTGTGGGATCATGGCCATTAAGCAGCTTGATCAGGAGCCAGAGAGGCCGTTTGTAGGTGGCGACTCGGGTTCTCGTTGGAATGGGGAGAAAAGGGCCAGTTCCACCCCCATCTGGTGAGGCCCCATATGTCTCATCACTGCAGGCCCAAACCTGACTGTCCAGTGGCCTCTGGAGGATGGCAGTCACTGGGCCACCAGAGGGAACAGGCCAAGGCACGAAACCTATTCCCACCTGGAGTGGCCCAGCGCCAGAAACCTACTGCAGGAATAGGACATTTCTGCCAAAAGCCTTTGGGTTCCAAGATTTGTTTCTGAGTCTCTGGGATCATGGCCGTTAAGCAGCTTGATCAGGAACCAGAGAGACCATGCCTCCAATTATATAGCTGAGCCGGAGGTGGTTTGTGGGTGTGTCTCCCACATACCTAACTTTTGGCCGTTTACTTTCTTGGTAAACTTTGCCCCAAGTTTTTGGGGTCTGGCCAAAGACACAGCAGCAATTTTGGGGTATCTGAAAGTTTGACAGTGCCATCAGGCTGCTGATGCACTCGCCTCACAGGTACAGATTGACCTGCTGGCAGCACCATACCCCCTTCAGTGGTTTTTAAACAGCTTCATGGAGGTGGCATTTACATGCCATGCAGTTGACCTGTTTAAAATATATAATCACAGAGGTCTGCAACCATCGTCATTATCAAATTTTAAGAGCTTTTGGCACCCCCAAAAGAAGTTCCATGCTTATCCATACTTATTCCCTGTTCTTCCCTCTTTCCTGTCCTTATCCAACCACTTGCCTGCTTCCAACTCTGTAGATTTGCCTTTGGGGGCATATTCAAAGGGATCCTATCCTCTCGGGCTTTTTGTAAACATCTTCTTTAACCAAACAGTTTGTGTTAGCTATTCATTTGTGTCATGAATTACAGAGCAATAGTACAGCGGGTAAGGAGCCTGCCTTGCATGCAGTCAACCCAGGGTTGATCTCGGCATCCCTATGGTCCCCCAAGAACTTCCAGGAGTGATCCCTGAGCTCAGAGCTAGGAGTAAGTCCTAAGTACTGCTGAGTGTGATCCCTGCCCCCTCCTCCTCACACACACAAAAGAAGAATTACTAATCCACTCCTAGGTGATTTTCTTTTTTTTCAAAGGTGATCTCTGTATCAAAAACATTTCCAACCAGAAGATTCTGAGATTCTCTGTGTCTCCTTCTTGCTAATACAACCCACATGAAAGTGATTTTCTAGGCTGGTGCTTATGTCTAAAGATTCTGTTCCATCTTGTGAGTGGCCCAGAGACCGTGGTGTGATGGATGGTAGGCAGTAACAGCAGAATTGGATGAAACAGAGAAAAATACGGAAAAACTAGTTCAGTTAGAACTAGTGGCTTCATCTGTAATACATTTGGAAGTTGTTTTTAAAATAATGGGGTTTTTTTGTATTTTACCAGAAAGATCAATGGTATATATTTGGAAGTTGTTTCTTCAGCATTGCATAAAGTAGTGGGGTTGCCTTAGTGAGGTGAATAATATGACCCACTGGGTGTGTTGGAGTAAAATATTAGAACTTATTTTTATCTGCATACATGGGATTTTCTGTCTGTGGTTTAATAATGTGGTGATATGCCATATAAGCACAGTATTAAATGACTAAATTTTAAGACAAATGTATATGTTATAAAAAGCCTATGTAGATGCATAGTGGTATATATTCCAAAACATTTGAAGATCGCTGATCTACAGAAAGTTTATTCTAAAATACCAGTATGAAGCCAGAGTGATAGTACAGTGGATAGAGTTTGTACACAGCACACCTGTGTTTGTTCTCCAACATCTCCATATGGTCCTGGGTACCGCCAGGAGTGATTCCTGAGTACAGAACCAGGAGTAACCCCAGAGCACTGCCAGGTGTGGCAAAGCAAAACAAGAAAGAAATAAAATACAGTGAATTGAGCCAAGGATAACATAAAGAAGTAGAGCATATGCCTTGCTTGCATAAGGCCTTATTTGGTTCCTGGCACTGAATGCCCACTCACCCTATACTCTGCACCACTTGGGTGTAGCCCTGGTGGTCCCTAAGCACTGTGGAGTGTGGCCCAGGTGATTCCCAGAACAACCTGTGAGAACCCATTGTCCTTCCTTGTTTAGAAGGGACATTTAGAAATACCTAGGGTTTTGTTTTCCTCTCTTCTATGATGCAGTGGCAGAGAAAGCTCAGGACAGCTACCTGGAGAAGCTCTGAGTTATTGCTCCAGTACTAAGAGTCTCCAGAATGCCAGGAATAGTTCTGCAAATATAGGATCCAGTACAAACGGTGGCTTCACACCATGTAAATCTCTGGGTTGGCAGCGCGGGTGCCCTTGTCTTCTCTGCCAAGTTCGTTGGGGTTATAAATGGACACCCTCCAAATCCCTGAGGCTCCCACTTGCCCTCTCTCCCCTTCTGCAGGCTCCATGACGGTGGTGACAGTGAAGGCAGTGGCTGGGATGCTGGTCTTGTCCATCCAGGGGAACCTGCAGCTGGACTACCCCATTTTCTACGTGATGTTTGTCTGCATGGTGGCAACCGCCATCTATCAGGCCACGTGAGTTGCAAATTCTTGACCAGATGGGCCTCACTGGGTGGGTGTTGATGGCATATGTCTCTCGGAGCTGTGGAGAAACAGCCTTACGCCAGGGTCTGGCATCTCAGGTGGATATAGGAGGGCTGTGAATTTGCTGATTTGTCACATGGAGTGGCTCGGTGCCACTTGAAAGATGATCCTGATGTAGATGGAGCTTTTTCCTCTCCCGAGATGTGAGAAATGCATGAGCGGAGGCAGCCTCACATCCCATCTGCTTCCTAGCAGGCTTCCTTTCCGTGGGCTTTAGAAGAAGCTGTGCTGCCCCATGAGGCACTTATTTGTCTTCTAGGTAGAAAACAAAAGTTACTACTTATTGTTCTCAAAGAATCTACCTCAAATCTTCCCAAGTTAAGGTAGCTATTTTTCTGAGCACAAGAATTAAAGTCAAAAGGAGCAGCTCTGAGGGATGGCCTAGGCCTTGTCTGTGTCTGAGACCCTGAGCCCAGCTGGCAGTCTAGAAGGGTAGGGGACAGTCCCGTGTAGGGACAGTCCTGAACTGTGCTAGTTTTATGGGCAGCCCAATATTCACCCTGGACAGGGCTGGCCCCAGACTCAACCTGGACTATCAGCAGTGGTTTTAGGAGACCATGGGAAAGTTAGTTCTCCAACTGGGAATCTGGAAAAAGTCAGTTCCTCACTGTTTGATGTGAATTTGAGTTTATTTAATCCCCATGATATGCTTGGAGGCAGATATGTTATATCTATTTTGCTTATGAGGATCTGCAACAAAGAGAGATAAGAGGAAGAAACTGTGGTAGGGCTGAGATTTGAATGCTGCTGAATTACTCCCCAGCACACACCTTTCTCTGCCATTTCACTGCCTTCCTCATCTCTTCCTGATGAGGAAAATTACAGAAAGCTATTAACACAGTTCCCAGTAATGGTTAATAAATATCAGCTTGTTTTATGATCATTGTAGCCATTATTATGTTGGTCTTTTATGTTCTCAGTCCTACCACTATTTCTAGTCAGCGCTACTCAGAGCCGCCACCCAGCCCCCACCTCTGGGGGTTAGTCCAGCCACTGAGGGGCAGCCCAGTTACTGGGGGTCAAGCCCACCACTGCGGAGTCAGCCCAGCCACTGAAGGGTCAGTTCAGGCATTGAGGGTCAGACCAGTCACTGATGGTAAGCCATGTTGGGCCTTTATGCAAACAGGAGGAGAGCTCTTTGTCCTTGCAGCGCTCATAGCCTTGGTGTGGGGACAGCCCAGCAAATGGTTCCAGCTGAGTGGGAAACATGTTACTGTGCAAATATCTGTGCAATAACTAAAATAACCCACAGAACTGAGGCTGGCGTTCACTCATAGCATTTATGGTTGCCCTCTGTTAAATTCAGAAAGGTTTGTTTACTCCTAGGTTACAAAGAAATTTTGTACAGTTTCAATAACAAATTTATATTTCATTTATATTGAATGTTCTATGTCTAATCAGGTGTATTTTTTAAACATCCATAGAGATTTGTATTATGAGCTTTATTAATACAGATACTTAAACATTATCTATAACATAATATAATATTTTCTAATATAAAAAAATTCTCTTTCTCAGGATAAAACATACTGTGTGTATAGGTCTATTCAAATTTTCCCCTTAAATTTTTCTTAATTCTCCTTACTAAATTTTACATTTGAAGGATTTACCTATTCAAAATATTTTAATGTATTAGCTAAGTCATAGTATGAATTTTTTATTTATATACTTATAAAAAATAAAGATACTATTTTTGAAAAAAAATACCAACTTACTGATCTATAATTCTGTAGAATTCAGGAGTCTATCTATACACATCTCTATGTATGTAGGAGTCACCACCTCCACAATAAATTTTTTTTAAGTACTCTGTATGTGGGATTAAAAAGAAACAGTGAGGAAACAGCAATTAGTCAAAGTCGTCAGAACTGGAGATTTTTGTCTCTAAAACTGAGCTTCCATAGGAGGGGGCGCTGGGAGGGATCCTGGGAACTCTGGTGGGGGGAAGCAGGCAGTGTGGTAATGGGTGGGATGTCAGGATGATGTGCATGAAAAGTATAACTAGCAGTAGTGTAGATCCTGGTACCTCAATAAAAATGATTCTAAGAAATAAAATGCTCCTTAGAAATGACCTCTTGTGCATTCCAGTAACAGTAGTATTGATGCTTGAAGGAAGTTGGGAAAGATTCTCACCTTCTCACTTTTCCTTATATTTATTACAATCATCATATTATACCTTTTCTTTTTGGCTTTTTGGGTCACACCCAGCAATGCACAGGGGTTACTCCTGGCTTTGCACTCAGGAATTACTCGGGAGTGCTCGGGGGACCATATAGGATGCTGGGAATCGAACCCAGATCAGTCGCATGCAAGGCAAATGCTCTACTGCTGTGCTATCACTCCAGCCCCCCAAACATTATATCTTAAGTAGAAAAGTTCTTTTTTAAAAGTTTTTTAAATTTTAAAATCTTTTTAAAAATCTTTTTAAAAAATTGTTCTAATGATTGACAGAACCTGGTAAGTGTTATGAGTCTCTTGGAATGTGGCGAGGAGGGGCTCTTTTTGGTGGGGTGGAGAGGCACGATATTTCTAGGCACAAGGCATGTGGACAAAGGTGTGAGGCCCAGGGGACATGGTCTGCCTGCGGAGTACGAATGGGGTTCAGGTTTTGAGTATAGGGAAGAATGGGAGTCGATGTGCACCCCAGCCCTACATGTACATGAGGATGGCATCTTTACAAACCCAAGGAATGTTTCTTCATACATCTTACTATTTCAGACTAGGTCTATTGTCATCAGTGTTCCCCATGTCCCTCTAACCAGGGCATTTTTGTATTGAAGGTTTTTAAGTCAAGCCTCACAGATGTATGACTCTTCTTTGGTTGCCAGTGTGGGCTACGTTCTATCCACAACCTTGGCTATCACAGCAGGTAAGTGAGCCCCACTGCTCCATACTGATTGTCTTCTAACTTGGCAGTAGGGACCTGACCCCAGTGTAGACAGAGAGGCTAACTCTTTCGGAAGGCCCATTCTGTTTTCCTGCCTGTCAGAGCTGTAGATATAATCTCATGGGGGAAAGTTTAGGATTTAGAGCTGAAGAGACACAGGTTTCCCTCATAGCACAATTCTGGACTTCTCTGTGCCTCAGTTCTACCTTATAAAATGGGAGTAATAACACTGCTTCTTAGCATGGAAATATCTGTCCTCCAAATGTCCTGTACTGGGCACTTTTATGTGCTAGGTTTGTTAATTTTTGCCAACTCCATACCATCTACTGTGGTCACTCCAAGAGACCACAAGTGTCTTCTATGTAGCGTTTTATTGGAGATATATGTGGGTGTTCCTAACTAGTGCTCAGAGATCCCAGGGACCACTCCTGGTTATTCTCAGACTGGCTATACAAGCTTGAAGGTTTAATGCTTGGGCACAGCAGTGCAGCCCTACTTGGGCCCAGAAGTGCTGCCCCCCCCAGGGCCTCCCATGCAGTTTGGCACTCAGTGGTGCTCAGAGAACTATGCATTGGTCAATCCCAGGGCACTCATATACAAGTCCTACACCCCAGTCCTTTGAGATATCTCTCCAGCCCTTATATAACTTTCGGATGTAATGAGTTTATGAAGCAACAACACAACAAATTTCCAATAAGCTATATTATTTTAATTTATTCTTTGTCTTCTGCTCCATCCCATAAAAAATGTTTTCTATATTTTTTTTCTATATTTCTATATTTTGTGGTGCCATGAATTGAACATAGAGCCTCACACATGTAAGGAATATGCTTTACTGCAGAGCAATCTCTCCCTCCCACTTAATTTTCTTTCTGAAATGGTGTAAGAAGCTACAAGTCAGAGTTTGTTGTCTAAAAGCAGTAATGGCGGCTCAGATCTTCAAAGTGAAAAGATTGTGTTTTCTCAATAAGAGCCAAAAGAAGATTCTTCCCTAAAGGAATGCCTGAATGTAGAACCATGTGTGTTTCCCTGCACATTGGCGCCCTAAGTGCCACACACAGCAGTAGGAACAAGCAGGCCACAAGGCCTGCAGAGCCTGTGATATGAGAATGATCTCATGTTGCATTGATTCAGCAGCCTGGAAGGTAATGAAATGCGAAGACTTAAGTCATGGTCAAGAACTGTAGTCCAGGGGGCTGGAGCGATAGCACAGCAGGTAGGGTGTTTGCTTGCACACGGCCAACCCAGGTTCGAGTCCCAGCATCCCATATGGTCCCCTGAGCACCTCCAGGGGTAATTCCTGAGTGCAGAGCCAGGAGTTACCCTTGTGCATCACCAGGTGTGACCCCAAAACGCAAAAAAAAAGAGAGGGAGAGAACTATAATCCAGAAAGAGCGGCCCGAGCAATAGTACAGCAGGTAGGGCATTTGCCTTGCATGTGGCCGACTCAGGCTCAATCCCCGGCATCCCATATGGTCCCCCAAGCACTTCCAGGAGTAATTCCTGAGTGCAGAGCCAGGAGTTACCCCTGAGCATCACTGGATATGAAAGAAAAAGAAAAAGAAAAAAGAACTATAGTCTAGAAAGAAAGAGAAAGTAAGAAGGAAAAGTGCCTTCTATAGAGGCAGGCTGGTTGGGGAGGGCTGGGGAGGGAAGGATGTTGGGAGGGAAACTGGAGGCATGGTGGTAGGAAATGTGTGAGAAACCCAATAATGAACAAGTTTGTAACTGTGTATCTCACAGTGATTCAATTTTAAAAAAAGAAGAAGAACTATAGTCCAGGGGTCAAAGAGGTAACTTAGAACATGCTTTGCATACGGGAGCCCCATGTTTCTGTCCCCCAAGCACCACCAGGAGTGAATCCAAGCACCACACCCTGTGCCAGGAATAGCCCCCAAGTAAAAACAAACAAGCAAACAATAAAAGAACTCTGATTTAGTCAAAATGAATTTACTTACCAACAGCATTCTCCACCAGCCAGCAGTCAAGCATAGAGCAGAAGCTCAGGAATACAGCATTGAAGTGGATCTGCAGGCTTGACATCTGCTAGCCAGCTGTCAGCTTAAATGCTAAACCCTATTTATCCACTGTAAGAAAGGGAGGGGAGTGGAAAGAGTATGTATAAAAACTGGCCTATGATTTCTCAACGGCATTTTCTCCCTAGGCGAATCTGCGTACAGTTTATATGGATATTCTGGACAATGTTTATGAATTTAATAATATCTCAAAATAAAAATATTAACAATAAATGGAGGTAAGGGGACTGGAAGGAGGATGGGAGAAATAATTTTGTTGCTTCAAAGGGCTTTTATTCTACTTGCCTGCTGTTTCTCCAGACATAGTATTTTTCTGACCATTTTGGTTTCCTGAAAGGAAGAGAGCCTCGCCAAGACCTAGACAGCTTGGCAAGAAGGGAATTTGAAAACATCTCACCTATATGTTGTAATCCTTGCTGCACAGGTGCTGTCTTTTACCTGGACTTCCTTGGGGAGGATGTGCTGCATATCTGCATGTTTGCACTGGGGTAAGTTCTACTTGCTTCCTGGCCCCAGGGTGCTGGGATGCTGCATGTAACATTCTGGGATGTTGCCTCTTTCTCTCCAAGTTTGCCTCATCCTCTCAAACAATCTTTTAGGGCCACCGGAGCAGCTGGGATCTGGAGCTTTGTCCCTAGTGGTTAGCATGTTAACTCTCCAGAGGGCTTTGTCTTTTCCCCCTTTCTTTTCTTTTGCAGTTGAATCTCCTTGTCATTTCTAAATTATCACATTTGGACACGTGAAAAGACTTACAAGTTCTCCTCAGATTAAAAATAAAAACATAATTGAAGCTACAAGAGATACCATCATTGCACAAAAACTAATAGATTGAGAATATTCCACATGGGCATGGAGACCAGGAGACTAACTCTCCGTGAGGGGTTGTTTTATGTTGGAGAAAAATCAGGCCACATCAGTTGAAATTTTACATAAGCATACTTTGTTTATTTGGGGACCACATCTGCTCTGCTCAGAACTTATTCCTGGCTCTGTGCTCTGAGATCACTGTTAAATTGATTGTATAAACAAACTGAATGCAACCTAAATGCCAGTGTTAGAATACATGTTAAATAAATTATGGAATATTTATATTTTAAACAGTAGTATCCATGGGGACCAGAGAGATGGTACAGTGGTTAGGGCACTTGCCTTGCACACAGTCATCCCAGGTTCAATCTCCTGCACTTCATATGGTTCCCCACGCCCACCAGGAATGATCCCTGAGAGCAGAGCCGGAGTAACACCTGAGCACAGCTAAGTGTGACCCAAAAAGACAAAACAAAGCATCCCCCCAAAATTATCCTGTTATTCTGGAAAATAGAGGTCAGCCTATAGATAGTGACATAGGACCATGACTGGAATACGTTAAATGGAAAAGCTACACATATTTTACATGCATAGATGTTTGGATTTTAATTTTTGTTTTTTTGGGGGGCCCACACCTAGTGATGCTCGGGGGTTACAACTGGCTATGTATTCAGAATCACTCCTGGTATGCTCTGGGGACCAAATGGGATTGTGGAATTTGAACCTGGGTTGGCTGCATTCAAGGCAAACACTATAACTGCTGTACTATCACTCCAGTCCCAGATGTTTGAATTTTAAGATCCAGAAATTTTACATCTAGATAAATTCCCAAAAGAAATGAGCACATAACATATTGACAAAGTGACTCGTGCGTGAAAATTCTAGTAGCACTATTCACAGTAGGCCCCAATTGTCCGTGAACAGGACAGTGGAAACAAACTGCAGTGCACTCAAACAATTCCATGTGATGCTTAAAAACAATGAACAACCAATATCTTCAATAAAGTAGATCAATCTTATAAACATTTGAGCGAGACAACAGAGGGCAGAGCCAAGATGGCTGGAACGAACAGATCTATGGGAGCTCTGGCGGCACAACACAGAGAACACATGATCACTGACCAGGGCGCAGCACCCCATAATCAGCCTCACTGAAAAACTTCACTAGAGAAAACAGCCATTACCTCAGGGTGACTCAACTCCTGAGAAACAAAAGAATTGTGAACAAGTCCAGAGCTAAGGAATGTTTCCTCTGGGGAAGGGAAGGAAGAAACAGAGGCTGGAAAAAAATAAAATAAAAGGGGAACCAGAAGCCTGGTATGCTGGAACCAGGCAGAAAACATCAAACTAGGGCAAAAGGGAGCTGAACACAAAGGACTTACAGAATATCAGCTTGATCTCAATCCTAAGTAAATCAAAAGCATGCTTGGAGCTTGTCGAGTCCAACACAGAGGACTGTTGCTCCCAGGGCCAGCAGGGAGCAGCCGTTATCCAAGATGAGCCATGCCCAGTAGAATTTTGCCTCTTGTTAAATCTAACAAAAGGTAAAACCAAACCTCGCCCAGACTGAAAGAAGTGATTTCCAATGTGAACTCCACCAACAGGAGTCATAACCATACCTTGCCCACACCCAACGCCCAATACAGTCTAGGCCCTATCATTCGGGTTCAAGCTGCCCTACAGTCTGACAGCCTTGTAGATTCACTGAGCTCAGAACCAAAGGAAGCTCCTCCAAAGTAGATGCACCAGACGTAATCTTAAACTGAAGCTGGAGAACACCAAGTGCAAAGGACCAAAAGAGGTTTAGTTTTGCACCTTGCCCACTATGTCAGAGAGACAGGAACTACGGCACAGACAGGGGCAGTTTTCCCAGACTACAGCTGGGGGCCGCTATTCCTGTGGAAGCAACTAGGTGCTGCCATCCTAGAAGGGGCAGCGGGTAGCAGACTTCCTGGAGGTGAGCCCCACCCACTAGGCCATGGTTTGAAGTTGGCATCCTGAAACTAGCATAGGCAAATGCTGGGGGGAAAAGAACCCATAGGTATGAGGATTAGCTTGCTGAACAGTTGTTACTGGGTATATGTAACCTCAGTCACCAGTCACTGCCCAAGTCAGGTGGACTGGGATGCCACATCAATCTTAAGAGACCAGTAACCATTAAGTAATCTTAATGCGCCCAGGCCAGCTAGAACATAGTGCTGTAACAGTTACAGGGCACAATGCCACAAATACCCATTGTCATCAAGATCAGAGCCAAAATAAAGGAACAGTGGAGATACATCAAATTTAAAAAGGTATATGTGGCAAAATAAACTCAGGCTAAGATGGAAAAAAATATTTGCACATCATATATCAGATAAAGAGATAATTCAGGGGGATAGAGAGATAGTATAGCAAATAGGGAGATTGCCTTGCTTGCAGCCAACTTGGGTTTGATCCCCAGCATTCCTGTGGTCCCCCGAACACCACCAGGAATAATTCCTGAGTGGAGAGCCAGGAGTAACCCCTGAGTATCTCTGGGTGTGTCAGAAAACAAAAAGAAAAACAAAAAATAGATAATTCTAAGGTGGATAAAGCACTCACAAAGTTCAAAAATAAAACAGTAAAATATAAAAACCAAAATATTAAAAAAAAAATAGAGACTGAACATGCTTGCGCCTGAAGAGGACAAACTGATCTCCTGAGGCATATGAAAGAGTGTTCAGGGCCGGAGCTGTAATACAGCAGGTAGGGTATTTGCCTTGTAAGTGGCTGACCTAGGTTCAATCCTCGGCATCCCATATGGTCCCCCAAGCACCGCCAGGGATAATTCCTGAGTGCAGAGCCAGGACTAACCTCTAAACATCGCTGGGGGTGACCTGAAAAGAAAAAAAAATTAAAAAGTATTCAGCATCACTTATTAGGGAAATATAAATCAAAAGGACACTAAGACTGAAAATAGCATATATCAAGAAGACTGGAAGGAGCAGTTGTGGGGATGTAGAGAGAAAGGAACCCACACTCACTGTGGGTGGTAATGTCCTCTGGTTTAGCCTCAATGGAGATTCCTCAAGAAAATAGAGCTCCCATATGACTCAGCAATCCCACTTCATGGCATTTATCCACACCCAAAACACAAAACATTAATTTGAATAGAAATATGCAAACCCATATTCACTGTAGCACTCATAACAGCCAGGACATGGAAACGATCCAAATGTCCGATGACATACAAATGGATAAAGAAGTCGTGGTGTATATACACAATAATGTACATTGAAATTTCTTTTCAATAAGAGATGCAGTCTTACAGTTCACTACAATTTGGTTGGAACTGGAAGATATTAGAGGAGAAGCACAAATGCAGGCTGATCCTACTTATCTGCGGCATAGAGAGAAATAAAATGAGGGAATTGGCAGAGCTAAATAATGACAAACCTTGGCCTCAGATTACAAAACTCAAGTTTACTAGCAGTGAGAGGCGGGGGTGGGGAAGGAAAGAAGAAATGGACTGAAAATAACAAAGACAATGGTAGAGGTGGTGACGGGGTACAATAACTGTGTACATCAAAACCATAAACATTGGGCTGGAGCGATAGCACAGCAGGTAGGGCATTTACCTTGCACACGGCCGACCCGGATTCTATTCCCAGCATCCCATATAGTTTCCCAAGCACCACCAGGAGTAATTTCTGAGCGCATGAGCCAGGAGTAACCCCTGTGCATTGCCGGGTGTGACCCCCCCAAAAAACTGAGAAAAAACAAACCCACAAACATTGATAATATTGTACCCATGTTACCTAAACTAAAACATCTAAGTGAAAATGCTAACACAAGGAGTGCATTCTGTGATCTCATAAGATATCACATGATGTCACAAAAAGCTCAGGAATGGGGAGATCACATCTGTAGTGAGGCAATAGTAGTTAGCTTTGGGGAAGGATTGGCATGAATTAGGAAGGTCACAGGGAAAACCGAGCTGGGCGAGGGCACGTGGCATTGTCTTCTCCATCGGCCTGGATCATGCATACACATACAATTTATCAAGCTCTGTCTTTAGGGTTTGTGCACGTTACTGCATTTTACTTAATTTTTAGAAAGGGCTGGTTTATCCAAACTCTAGGGAAAAGAAAAATTTTTAAGATTCCGCTGGAAGGAAATATATATATATATATACATATATATATATATATATACACATACATATATCCGGGAGAGAATATACTCAGGAGAGAATGACTGCTGAAATTTTCAGTTTTCTCTATTCCTGGGTTGATGGAATTTAGGTCATACATTTTTTAAATGAAATTAATTTTTAAAGATGGGGTTTTGAGCTATAGGCTAAGTGAAAGTGAAGAACTGTGAGAGTTTTGCCCAGGAGAGACTAACTGGTTCCGATTAAGGTTTGTGTAAATGCCGGGTGCGTGGGGCTGTACAAGCTGTTATCATTCGTCTAACATCTGTTCCCTGCTGAACTCAGGCCTAAAAGCTGCTCATCAGCATGTTCTCTCTGCAGCCGGAAACCCCCCTATATACCTGGGTTTTACCTGTTCCTATGTCCTAAATTTAAATGTGTCTCTACGACCTTGCTCCAGTCTTATTTCTCTTCCTTATGTTCATTCCTCAGGTGCCTCATTGCATTCTTGGGCGTCTTCTTAATCACCCGTAACAGGAAGAAGGCTGTTCCATTTGAACCCTATATTTCCATGGATGCCATGCCAGGTAACGCTGAAACCCTCTATGTCCCGCTGGCCAGCCTATCCGTACAGAATGATGGCTACTGCCTGTTTAGAAAAAGAAACCCAGCCACTGGGTTTGGTGCAGGAAAGGTGTGCTGTGCCGTTATGGTGTGACTGTCTGTTTCTTTCCATTTTTAAATCTTGGTTTGCAAAAGAGGAAGCAATGGCTGAGACACCTCTCTTGGCTTTAAGCACATCTTGCCAGTTCCCATGTCTATTTCAGGATGTTTTCAAGACAATCCTGATTCACACTGGATGTAATTATGATCTGCAGCACAAGGCTTCATGCCTACAAAAGGGAACATACATTCTTTGAAATGGAATGATCAGAGAGGACAGGGAAAATAGAATGAAGGACATTCAAATACTATACAGCATACTTTGGATTCTACAAGTCAGTGAATTGTTCTGTGGAAAGTCTGATTTCCCAGAGAACTATGGGTTCAAACTGTGAAAGAAATGTAAATTCAAATGTCTTTAAGCCATACAGAAACAAATGTGTAAATTGGTTACATACTGCATGAACGGAAGTAGCAGGGCTTTTGAAAAACTGGAAAGTGCCTGTCAAGCCTAAAGGGTCCAAATGAAAAAGGTTCAGATGGGACTAGCATTTAGTTTGCTGACCTGAATTCTTCAGGTTGCCAGTGACCACTAGCTTTTACTCTTTAACCCCTATATTTTTTTTATTTTAGCATATGTGATAAAATCTCTCCTAAAGACAAATGTACCTTCACCCTTCATTTAATCTTGTGAACAAAATATAACCACACTAAGTACCAAGTACTGCTTTATAAGATACTCTGTGCTGCAATATTAATGGTCCCAAGACTTTACTGTTTGCTTTTTTTTTCTCATCTCCTGCTATTAAGCTGTTGTCTGTCATTCTTGCTGTTACCAGCCTGCCTGCATAGAGCAACTCTGTGTCAGTCTTTGCATTTGACCAGATTTGTTTGAATTGTGTAAAAATTAAATAAGTTCTGAATTGGGGACTTGAAATTTCTTGTAGGGATTAAGTGCATGAGCTTTAGTGCATGGACTTTATACAACATCTAATCTGGCTGCTGAGATGCCTTTTTTGCTTACTTCCTTGTTTCTCGGCTGTGTTCCGGATAGATGAGGGCGCTGGATAGCTGAATTCCAGATAGGTGAGGTGTCAACTCTGTGTGTGTGCAAGTATGTGTATGTATATGTGTGTTTGTGTGTTTGTAAACTGTATGTGTACATATCTAAGTTTTTGCATATGCATATTTACAGATGTGTTTTCTCTGATGGGAAGTAGAAGGGACTGGAGGTAATCTTAGATCTTAGATGCTGTGATGTTTGTGGCTCTGACTCCCTGCTCCCTCAGTGTGCCTTTTCACTAGCAGGAAGTCAGATGCAAAGAAAGAAGACCCTGACCTATTTGCTGCATCAGGTCAGGAAGCTTCTGGATAGATAACCCCACTGCGCTATGAAGAGTGGAGGCTTAGGATTCAGTTGAACCTGAATTCAAATTTCAGCTCTAACACCTGTGCTCTGTGACCTTGAGCATCCAGACAGCTCTTCCAAGGCCTCTGACCCTCATTTGTTAATTTCCTTCTCTCTGGGCAATGGAGTCATGTGGTAAAAGGCCCTTGCACAGTATTTGGGATATGGTAGATGCCTGGTTGGTTACATTTGATTTTAGTTTCTATTCCTTTCTTTAAAAATGCTGAACATTTAAAACTCTTGTCTAATCTAATACCAAGATGAAGAGTAAAACAATTTAAAATAATTATTTTTCAAGTAATGTGGTATCCCTGTTAGGCATTGGAACCCTGTTTTCTATCTGCCTAAAATATCTGTGTGCCACAGACCCATACTTATTATTCAAGAAGCATTTATATTCCAAAAATGTTCTTCATGTGATGATTGGAAGAGGCTAATAGTAATGCCAGCATTTGAAAGATTTCTGAAAAATGAGAAAGGCCAAAAGCAACCCTGATACTTAGAAGCTGGGCCTTGCTGGGCTTTGGCTGAACACAAACAATTTCACAGAATATCAGCATCAGACACAGTCACTCTGTGATTGGATGAATCAAAAACAACCACTCCATTTTTGTATGAACACATGAACATTGTACAAACCTCAGAAAGAACCAGCTTCCCCCCATCCTGGCTAATGTAAGCGACCACTGCTTCCTCAACAATTATAGCTGTAACTTCAGTCTTGTCTCTCCCCATCTAGTTAAGATTTATTAAGATCCCCAATTGTTGAATTATCCTCCCTTCCTGACAGCATCGAATCCAAACCCAAGTCCTGCCTCCTTTAACCCTCCCTGAAATTACCTTTCACAAGTGCTAATCCCATAACAGTTCCCAACATCCCCTTATTGGAAAGACACCATGGCTGCCCACAGTGTCTGGCTCCCTCCTTGCAATAAGTCAATAAACCCAAAGGGTCTTTGCAGAATGTAGGCAGGACCCAAAAGCTAAGGTGATTGAAAAAAATATAACTCCAAGTTCTTACCTTACCCAGTTAAGTCAACTCTCTTACCTAAAAACAGGCACCCCTTTCACTCCTTCCTCTCCAACGAGAACCCACCAGATCCAAACTGTACCCTTCAAAGGACTAACTGCTAAGACTCATGGAATACAGAAGCAAAGGGCTCTCCACAGTCTGGGTTTTCCCAGGCCTTTTGCAGAGTAAAAGTAGAGACTTTTACTCTGATCTCACGCTGACTCATTAGCTGTATGATCTTGTACAAGTTACTTCACCTCTCTGAATTTATATTTATTTTCATCATTTGTTAGCCATAAAATGAGGTGAGTGGGGCTTTTCCGATACATCACTTTGGGGGATATGTGCAAGGTAGTGGGAGAACATACAGCATTCGGGGTTAAGTGTGTGGGCTTCAGAGTTGAAGCCGCTTGAGTGGCAGCCCAGACTGTGCTGTTTCCTAGCTTTGTGACCTCAGGCAACCTAGTTAACCTTCAGCTGCCTTCTTTCCTTGTTGGTACTTATAAGGTTCAAAATAAATAAAACTGTATAACGATTTAGACCTATTTGCCAGGTCTATTTTGCCATACAAACTGCTCCTATTAGCTATTATTATTATTGTTATTGTTGCAGTGATTACCATTTAGTTGGATTTTAGGGGAGTGGGGGACACCTGACTGCTCAGAGCTTAATCCTGGGTCTGTACTCAGGGATCATTCCTGACTGAGAGATCTCTCCTGATAGGGCTTGGGAGACTATATGCAGTGCTTGGAATAAAACTTTGGTGAACTATATGCAAGGCAAGTACCTCACCCACTGTACTTTCTCTCTAGCCCTATTATTACCATCTAAAGTACTCTGTCCAATGCCAAAGGCATATGAAGCAGTAGTTGTCAGCTGTAATTATCAATATAGTTTCATAAAAGATACTTTACTTTCAATTTCTTATGATTTATTCTGGGACCAAGAGTTTCTTATTTGTTGTTGTTGTCAGTGTTAGAAATAGAACTCAGGTCCTCGTGCATAATCTACCACTTGAACTATCTCCCCAGACTGCAATTTTGAAGGCTCTTAATTCCCTGTCAGGAAAAAAATTGGCTTTAGAGAAAACCAGGTCTCACTTAAGGAAGGGAATTATAGAATAAGGTTAAAGATAATAATGGAAAAAAATGAGAATAGGCAAATTATAAAAATAAAAACAAAAAAATAAAAAACTTAAGAGGCCAGAGTAATAGTATAACAGATAGGGCACTTTCTTGCTTGTGGCTGACCTGAGTTCAATCCGTGGCATCCCATTGTTCCCCTGAGCACCACCAGGAGTCATCCCTGAATTCAGAGCCAGGAGTAAGCTCTGAATACCATTGAGTGTTGATTCAAAACAAAACCCAAAAAAAAATTTTTTTTAAAGTATAACAAAAGAGAAAAAGAAGAATCAGGGACCGGTGACATAGTAAGCAGGTAAGGTGCTTGCCTTGCAAATATCTGACCTGACTTCAATCCCCAGCACCCGCTGTGGTTCAGAGAACACTTCCAGGAGTGATTCCTGAGCATAAACCCAGATATATGCCCTGAGCCCAGTCAGGTGTGGCACAAAAACCAAAAAGGAAAGGAAAGGAGGAAGCGGGGAAGAGAGGGGAGGGAATGAAAAGAATTAATGAGAAACTGAACCCCACCAGGAATAATTCCTGGACACAGCCAGGAGCAAGTAAGCCCTAAGCACAACCAGGCATTACCCAACCCACTCACCCCCAATTAAATAATTAATGATTAATGTCTTTGCCTTCAAATATAACTAGAGACCCAACATGCAAATAACCACAAATAAGCAAAATCACACCTTACACTCCATGTAGATCAAAGATAAGGGTCAAAAGTCACCTTCTGAGCATCATACTACTTGTCACATAACCCCAACACAAAAGTGACCATTTGACAGTACAGTGGAGTTTTCTAGATCCTGATTTAACTCAGCAAAACTGCTGGCATCTACCATGATCAAAACACAGTGCAGGTTGCACTCTACCTGCGGCCCAGATAGACCTCCCACCTCTTACAGGCCAGTTGGTGGTTTCTTGTGCCAATGGCCTGCCTGATGTGCGTATTTCCTGAAGATTTGTCCCCTGTTGCTTAGCAACCCTATTACTTCTGGTATATATTTATGGGTGTTCTTTTTTCAGTCTAAAGCATTCAGGAAATTGACAATGCACATGATTAGTTCCCTAACACTATAATTAGTCTGTAGTGGAATAGAGGAAGATGCAGCCTTCTTTGACCCCCTTACCACATAATGATTGGGAGGAAATGGATTTATTTCATTTCAGGTATGCAAAACATGCATGACAAGGGGATGACAGTCCAGCCTGACCTCAAAGCTTCTTTTTCCTATGGGGCCCTGGAAAACAACGACAATGTTTCTGAGATCTATGCACCTGCCACACTGCCTGTCATGCAAGAAGAACACAGCTCCCGGAGTGCCTCTGGAGTTCCCTACAGAGTCCTGGAACACACCAAGAAGGAGTGAGCCCACCCCAAAGGAGAAATACTTCCCTGCCATTTATAACTGCTCCAGTCCCGTGACAAGTGGTTGAACCCTTAACTCTAAAACTTGCCTTTCAGATCTTAATTTTTGTTTTTAAAACTCAAGAACTCTCTGGGCTGAGATGATGCCAAGACTTGACAAGGCAGAGGATCCCATTGTGTTGGCCATTGAAATGTCAGGCGACCAGGGAGAGGGCTAGAGGTGGAGGGCTGAGAGCAGTTGTTGTTCAGGTGTGGAGTTGGACCTCTGCCTGAGCCAAATTGGGAAAGACTTTCTCATCTTGCAGATGATAACTGAGCTTCCCCAGCCAGTGACCAAAGGTTGCCATATGCTTCAGCACTAAAAGCAAGGCAGAGATTCTGCGCTTCTTTCCCAATCCAGGGAAAGACTGGAGACCTCACAATGTCATTCTTTCCCCTTCCCATGCAGACCTGTGAGCTCTGCGCCTCTCACTCACTGTTCCACATCTGCTTGCTCACTGTCACCTTTCTGTGGTAAGGTGGGCCAGAGCTGGATGAGACAGTCCACCACACCCCTATAGGATGAACACGTCTACTTCTGCTTGTGCCCTCCCCGGGAAAAATGTGCCTGATGTGTTTCTCTGAGCTCCTCTCTGAAAACTGGATGGGTTTTGGTTCTGTGAACTACTCGATCAATTTTTGTCCCCAAAAGGAACTGAGAAGTTATGATCTAAAAGGAGAAAACACAGGGCAGAAGCAGAGGTGATAATACATTGGCCCATAGGGGGGAAAAAATCCTTTTTCTTCTTGCAAGTGATCACATCACTTATAAAAAGGTTTGACAAGACCTAGCTGTTGTATGTGTTTTCCTGCATATCAGTACCCTCTAGCAGATTGGGGGGACTCATTTCAGAGGTGGCCTCATTTACCTCTCTTCATCCTCTGCTTTGTTTTGTTTTGTTTTTTGGTGGGGAAGTCACACTCAGTTATGCTCAGGGGTTACTCCTGGCTTTGCTCTCAGGAATTATTCCTGACGATGCTCAGGGGACCAAATGGGATGCCAGGTATCAAACCTGGGCCAGACGCATGCAAGGCAAGCACCCTACCCGCTGTACTGTCACTCCAGCCCCATCCTCTGCTCTATAGATAGACAACTCAGCTTTATTTATTGGCTGATGTCCTTGGAGTCCATGGAGATCTTTTGTTCCTCTGACCCCCACACTGGCCTCTGGGGAAAGCAGGAATTCTCAGAAACAGGGCACTTTCTTTCTGGCTATGTATATGCTTATCTTCCTATAAACTCACTGTCTATTTTTGAGAATGGCAAATAAAGGTTTTCAAGCCCGAATGTGCATAAGGATATCCTGTAAGGAGGTTATTTATAAATGCAGATTCCTGTACACTGACTCCAAATATTCAGAGAAAGTCTGGGATGGGACCCAAGAGCCTGGAGCACAGGTGATTCTGAAGCAGGTAACCCCAAGGATCGTGCTCCTTACAAGCCTTATAACAGAAAGATATGCTCGGCTCAAGCCCCCAGGGCCAGTTCATTCCTGTGAGAAGGTTGGAACTACCATTCCTTGTTTCTTCTCTGGGCTTCATTTAGCAAGTCAATTATCCCCGTAGGATCTGTGGCATTTCTCCATCCTGTGATTACTTAGATCTATGCTTAACTGCCTCCCTAAACAGCCTTTAACTCACAGGCAAGATAACAGTGTTAATAGACCAGTGTTGATAGATCATTAACTTTTATGGATTGTACTTAATGTTGATTTAGTACCTTGACTTCCAAAACTAACGTCTGTAACAACATGTTGGCTATGATATCCACTTCTGTATTGTTTTAACCACTTCTGTATTGTGTCTTATATACCTAACAAGGCAACAATAACTTTCTTCCTTCAGATAGGTATCAATTCAATTCAACAATATATATGAGGCATTAACTCTGTCCTCAAGATTTGAATGACAAGGTCTACAAAGAGTGATTTCCGTTCTCCCGGCCAGCAGGGGGAATCACAGAGACCGAGGAAACTATGGCAGGGTCAAACCTGACAGGTGTGAAGTACAGTAGGCAACCAAAGAAAGTAACAGATCTGACAGTGCTGCTAAGGGGACAGTATTTAAAATTGGAGATAACTAATTGGACCCCACTCGTTGACAGAGGTGTGGGATAGGCAAATCTAGCTTAAGATTTGAGTAAGGCGTAAAACTAGGGTGATCAGGACCCATGCAAAGCCGGAACTTGCAAAGAGATAGGGCAGGAGGAATGGGAAAGAAAGAATTAGGAAAGGAGGCAAGAGATGAGTCTGGAGAGCTCAGCATTGGAGACCAGATCACGGAGGGCCTGGAACGGAGGGCTGAAGTGTTTAATGTGTATCTCCAGGGGCCTGGAAGCCATTGAAATTTCCTGAGGAAGTGAAAGACAAAGCCTGCTCTGATTAGAAAAGTCTTAAACAGGGTGGAGACAAGAGGGAATAAAAATTACATTTCAAGGTCAAGTTACATGCCTACAAGAACAAAATACCGAAGGGGAATTAAAAGTTGATTGTGCTGCTATTTCAATTTTCCAAGGTGAAAGCAGGGAAGAAAGTGACAGTGGCATGGGTTCCTAAAAAGGTCACTACAGAGGTGATCATTTGTTCTTTTATGTCCTTCCCACCTTTCTCTACCCGCTTTCTTTTGGGGGATCTGGGGGTATTCATTGTTGTTATTATATATCTTTTACCTGTAGTCAGGCAAAAATGAGATGGGGCCAGAGAACTAGTGTAGGGGGTGAGGTACTTGTGCAGATGGTAAACCCAGGTTCAACCCCCAAGACCCCACAGGGTCCCCCAAACAGCACCAGGAGTTATCCCTTAGCACTGAGCTGAGAGTAAGCCCTAAGAATAGTTTGGTGTGCCCTCCCCCCCAAGAAATCAACCAAACAAAAAAAAAAAAGAATGAGATGCTTGGATCAAAGTGAGTTGAAATCTCAGGTCAACTGAAGATCATGGGTTCAGTGCCACCTGGACATCTGGGCAACTCCTCTACTTCAGGACTGGGGCAATGACTTTGAAGCTGACATAAGAAGGAGGAGCCAAGATGCATGGTGTTTTTCTGTGTGGTCCCTGGGTGTTGGGATGATCAAGAGAGAGGGAACCTTGGTCTCCAGAATTCTGAATCTGCCTTGAGCAAACCCTCCAAGGCTTTGTCCCCAACTTCACAACTACTCTTCACCAGTGGCAAATCAGCAGCCCTTGTTAGGACAGGGAGGAGGTCAGAACCAGAACCTTGATTCTCTTTTTAACTCTCAGCTCTGACATCCCCAAGCTCTCCTGAGTGCCCCAAGGAACATGAAACATCCAGTATCTCTCTCCGCCTTTGTGGCCAGTCCCTGAAGCTTGGTCAGCCAATGGGTGTAAACTTTACAGTCATTCTCTGGTCTTTCTCTTCTCCCCCTCCGCCCCCCCCCCCCTCCCAATTTGTCTACCTCTGGGAAAGGCTGGGATTCTGGGTTCCCTTTCAGACACTAGAACCAGTTCTTCCCAGACTCGTGCCTGTGAGTTCTGAGGGGATTCTAGCCCCCACTTGCCTGGCCTTTCTATGGAATGCAGGTCAGAGATGCCTTCACACTGGGCTGCAGGTTGGGGGGAAGTAAATGCTGGATGGGGAACCAGATTGCCCTCTCCATAGCATTTCTGGTAGAAAATAGTCGACATGATGCTGTGGGACATACAGAGCCCCCCAGGGACGTAAAGGGAAACCTTACCCTAAACCTTGTGAATTCCAAGTTCAGTCCAACACTGGATGATAGGCAAAAAATGAACTGTGTGTTTCTCTGAGAAGCTGTGTAAATGAAGCCCCCTTAGAATATATTCTATGTGGATGCTTATATTTTGTTCACTTCGTGACTAATAATATGGCATGTCTTATTTTTCAAAAAAAATGTGTGTGCAAATATTATGATGAAGTGGTATTTAATTAAAAAATGTATCCCAGTGATTCCTACTGAGTTTGAGTCTTTTGTTTGGCTTCTGTTCCTGGAGTCGCTGAAGCATTAGCCCGTGGAGGTATGTGTGAGGCTGAAAATGACCTATGTCCTTGCTGCCCCATCCCACACCCATGCCACACATGTGTCTGGTGAGCACTTGCAAGGGGCTGAGCGTGCCCCAAGAACTGGATGTTTGGTTTTACTTACATATAATTAGGCCCTCCCGTTGATCATCGATTTGCTCGAGCGGGCCCATTGGAGACTTTGTTGTTACTGTGTCTGGCATATCGAATACTCTCGGTAGCTTGCCGGGCTATTCCTCCGCCCCTCTCGGAGAGCCCGGATTGGATTTGGATTATCAGATAGCCCAATAATTAAAACTTATTGGAATTATAAATAAACTCTGACAGTTAATGAAATTCATTCTTATAAAACCCTGAAACCTTGTCACATAAACCTATCCTGTTCTTTAGTTGCCCTGAATTAACATTATTTCTTAAACACCTAACTATGAGTCCTACCAAGAGCCTCATGGACCTGGAACAGACCACTGGATCACTCCAGTTTTGATGTGGAAATGCCCAGAGACCCAAAATTGTAATTCAGCTATAGTTAGTCATGAGTACTATTCTCTGACAACAAAGAGGAAAGTGTAATTGAATAATCATCTTTTCCTTCCCTCTCTGAGTTGAGGAAAATGAAACAAACTGGTCTGAGGTCTACAGTTTGGAAGGTATGAGAACCTCCCCTTGGGAGAAGCCATCTTGTTCAGAATTGCTGTTAGCTGATTTAATGCCTGATTTAATGTTACCTTATTGTTGTGAGTTCCAGCAAAGTAAATAAAAAGATTTTGTATGTTATCCCTGTTCTTACTCTATTTATACAAAATAACTATCCAAATTAATAAGAACTAAACATATCCCCAAAACTAAACTTACAGGGCTAGAGCAATAGCACAGCGGGTAGGGCGTTTTCCTTGCATGTGGCTGACCCAGATTCAATTCCCAGTGTCCCATATGGTCCCTCGAGCACCGCCAGGAAAAATTCCTGAGTGCATGAGCCAGGAGTGACCCCTGTGCACTGCCTGGAGTGACCCAAAAACAAAAAAAAAAAAATTAAACTTATTAGAATTATTTAGTAAAGTTTGGGAAACTAGAAAAATATGTTTCAATAACATTCTTTTGTGAATATCAGATTATTGTCTACTTAATCATTTTTATAAGTTTTACCTTTTATCTATAAGCCAGAGTAAATCCCAAATTATTATAATATCTTGGTATGAATTTCAAATCTAGTGTTTCTGGCTTTATCTAGTTTTTTGTTTTGATTCAGAACTAAAAGCCATCCTTTTCTAAAGGGCACTCAATGGGGCTGGAGCCATAGCACAGCAGGTGGGGCATTTGCCTTGCACACAGACAACCTGGGTTCGATTCCCAGCATCCCATATGGTCCCCCGAACACCACCAGGAGTAATTCCTGAGTGCATGAGCCAGGAGTAACCCCTATGCATCACTGGGTGTGACCTCAAAAGCCAAGTAAGAAAGAAAGGAAAGAGAGAAGGAAAGAAGGGGCACTCAAAGTGGAATGAAAAACTTGAAAATAGTACAGTGATTACTCCGACACAAAACTTATGTTGCTTTTCTGAACATCAGAAGACACCTGTAGCCCAGAAGGAGCTGCCATTTAAAGATACTCTGGCTGATATCCAGGAATAATTCTCCACTGTCAGTTCTTAGAGCTCTTGGTGGATTTGTCAATTGACTTCCATTTTAGTCAAGGATTGAGACACAACTCTTTAATTGGGTTGAATCATTCTCAGGGTGAGAAACTGAAAACTGAACAAATGAAATTCTGCATTAGGGAACTTCCCAGGCAGCATCAAGAGAGGGCAGAAGAGAAGATGACTTGCAGATGGCTTTTGAAAATGTCTATTTTATCCTCCACCAATCACTGGGGGAGTCACCCTATTTCATAGAAGAACTTTATGGGTATTTGGTTTCCACGTAAGTGTACATTCGTGCACTTGGATGAGACCCTCTCTTCCTGGAAGAGTGTTAGCAGTCCTGCCTGGCACACACTCCAATTCGGATGTATACTAGACTGAACACTATCTGCTGGATAGCACAGTAGTTTCCATCCAATTTGCACCCACAAGATGGAACTATTAATTTGGAATTCCAGGTAGAAGCTCTGACCAGTCATATGGTCACTGCTTTGAACCAAACCAAACATGCACTGGCTCTTCATACAAACAAAATAGCCAAAAAAAAAAATAGAAAGTGATCATAGAGAATCACATGGCACTAGATACGTGAACCACTGTGCAAGGTGGCACATGTTCTACGCTTCACACACAATGCTGTAAAGATACCCCAACTCCCTCTGGATCTCCTCCTTTCCCACGGTATGATGCTGTTTATTGTGGCAGCACTGTTCATAATGTTTAGTTACAGCATACACTACTGTATTTGTGGAATATGGATGCAATATGTGATATGATTCATCACTCCAGGGACTTCATAAAATTATGTGATGTAGAGGCTGAAGAGATAGGGCAGTGGATAAGGCATTTGCCTTAGATGCAGCCACTCAGACTATCCGCAGCATCTCATATGGTCCTTTGAGTCCCATCTGAAGTGATCCCAGAACACAGAACCAAAAGTAAGCCCTGAACACTGCTCCAGTGTGCCCCCCCACCCCAACACACACACCACCAAAAACGTGTGATTTGCAGGATATGCAGGTGGTGGTGTCAGGGTAGGGGTGGAATATGAGGAAAATGAGGGTCATGCCTCCTTCACTGCCCTCCCCTTTCTGCCAGGAAGCCAGAGACAGCCCTGGGAGGTGCAATGACCAAACAACTTCCAGGAAGAATGGAAATATTAAGCAGAGACGCTATCCATATCTTTGTGCCCAGTACAATATCTGATCTTCACAACTAAGCCCAATTGTATTTTTTGTTCTGCATAATATACATGGAAATGTATATAAATACATACATATTCATATATATTCCCTTCTGACAAAGTCCTGGTGTAGTTAAGGTACCCAAACCAGAATCAGTCTGCCACACTGGTTACGTTATGGCACTAGAACCAGCCGGTCTGTTATAGTACAGAACCAGCCTGCCACCACTGGTTCTGCTCACTCAACTGGTTCAGCTTGCTAGGCTGGTTCCACTCACCAGCCTAATCTTGCTTTCTGCTTTCATAAGTATACAACACTAAATCTGTATTCTCTAGCCATTGGTCCTCCAAGTGCTTTCTTTGGAACAGGGAATAATGCTCAAGCTCTTCAAGATCTGGATTTGCAGTATTGCAGCCTTCACATGACAAGCACCCAAACTTGGGTTCAGTAGCAGAGTTTGAAAGGCAGCCAGGAACCAACTATGGCACTCAGGGCTAGCTGGCCTTCTTCCCTGATTTCCATAGATCAGAGATGTTGGCTCAGCAGCCCACCAGGACTTCCTGGATCAAGTTAGCTGGGAACTGAAATAGCTAGATAGCCTGTGTGTCTGATGGCTGCTTGCAGTGAACCGATCCTGTTACAGGGGGAGTGTTTGGACACCCAGTAGCTGCAGAGATGTCGTTTATCTTAAGAACTCTTCTCCCTGCATGCTGAAAGTAGATTATAGACTGAACATGATTGCCACTCAATTCCTCTTTTACAAACCACAGCACCCAAAAGGAGAGAGAGAACAAAAGGGTGTGCCCTGCCTCAGAGGCGGGGTAGGACGGGGGATGGGGGGCGGGAGGGATACTGGGATTAGTGGTGGTGAATGGGTACTGGTGGAGGGATGGGTACTTGATCATTGTATAACTGAAACCGAAGCACAAAAATTTGTAAGTCTACAACTACCTCATGATGTTTCACCAATAAAAATTTAAAAAATAAATAAATAAAAGCTAATAGTATGTTAAAAAAACAAATAAACAAACAAAAAACCTCTTCTCCCTCTCATGAAATGGAGAAATTTGTTTTTGGTTTATTTTGGGGGGGCTGTTTGATTGTTGGGGGGGGTACACCTGGTGATGTTCGGGGGATACTCCTGGCTCTCCACTCAGCAATCACTTCTGGCAGGGCTTGAGGGGGCCATATGGGATGCTGGGGATTGAACCTCTATCAGCAGTTTGCAAGGCAAGCTTCCTACCCGCTATATTATCACTCTGATCTGGAGAAATTTGTATTTTAAACTGGCTCGGTTGGGGGCCGGAGCGACAGCACAGCGGGTAGGCCATTTGCCTTGCATTGGGCCAACCCGGGCTCAATCCTCGGCATCCCATATGGCCCCCCCAAGCATCGCCAGGAGTAATTCCTGAGTGCAGAGCCAGGAGTAACCCTGAGCATTGCTGGGTGTGACCCAAAAAGCAAAAAAATAAATACATACATACATAAATAAATAAAATGGCTCTGTTTCAGCAAGGTGGCCGCCGCCTCAGAGCTTATAGGAAAGCCAGGTATGAGCTGGCAGTGACAGGGCAACTGCAGTCTCATGGGAAGGGGGGGCGGTACCAGCTCATCCTTCACGCCCTACGGAGGTCACGAGTTGCCCCCCATGAGCAGCTCTCCGGCACAGCCATAACACCAGACGCACAGAAATCAATCTCGTGATTATCTGGCTCTTTGCAGAAATCCAAAATCGCGGCCGCGTGACATTATATGATTCTCATAACCAGCTTTAGAAAACAAGTATTTCACAATGCCTTTTCAGCAATTCTGATTGTTGGGGGGGTGGGAATTCTAAACAATAATGGTGCATCTTTTGTCAAAATAATGTAAATGTAATCAATGTAGAGAAGAGTTAAGTAGAAATCATCTGCCTCACAGGCATTGGGAGAGGTGGGAGGGGATTATATTGGGGTTTTTGGTGGTGAAAAATGAGTACTGGTGAAAGGAAAGGTGTTTGATTGAGATAATCCTGAAAGCTTGTAACTTTTCCCACAGTGATTCAATAAATAAATATAAGAAGGAAAAAATAAATAAAATTAAGGGGAAAAAAAGTAAGGTGGAA